TAAACTCTGTAGAGAGTTTAATGTCTCCGAATATATGGTTCGAACAACTCTTGATTTGTTTAAAAAAGAAGGAATTTTACCTCAACTCCGAAAAAAACTGATAATGTTATTAGTAATGAACTAGTTGAGCTCGTTTTAAAATTTTATGACGATGATGAAAATAGTAAGATCTGCTATGGTAAAAAAGATTATGTTAATATTAAAATAAATGGTTCAAACGAGCAATATCAAAAAAAATTATTACTTTGCAATTAAAATGAATTATATGTGAAAATTTAAATTAGTGAATCCAAATTTGAAAATTAGTAGATCTCAATTTTGTGCACTTAAGTGGTGTATATTGGCTGTATCTTCAGGCACACATAATGTGTGTGTCTGTGTTCACCATCAAAATGTAAAGCTTATGGTACAAAAAGCTGGATTAGAATCTGGTTATAAATACTATCTAAATTGTTCAAAATTTGTAATATTGAAAATTATAATTGTATGATGGTAGAATGCATTATATGTTTGAATTGGAGTGACAGTTAAAAAAAAATGCTTTCTGACAAATTAAATGATGGTCTAGAAAATATTATATATAAACAATGGGTTAGTACAGATAGAGCTGATTTAGTAACTAATATTTTTTCGTTCCTACAAATGAAGTTAATTAACATGAAAAAAAGTTAAAACAAAGATTTGAAAATGTTAAAACATTTCCAGGACAAGGCAAATACATAGAATAGTACCTTTGAAACAAAATTTGATAAGATGTTATAAAACTTTATCTTCCGCTCAATATCAAGATATAAAATGTTCAAAGTAAAATATATATATATATATATATTGTGTAATTGTCTGTTATAAAACTTTTATATTATACATTCTTAAATATTTTAATTATTTAATTATTAATTGTAAATAGTAATTAATAAATTTATAATTAACTTTGGATTAAAATTTAATAAATATACAATGTCCAGTTAGAAAAAAATATTTAAATATATAATTTTTGAAATGATTGACATATAATAAATTTAAAAAAAGGGATTTTTCAAAGCTAAATTTATGTTGGTTTCGGTAAAATACCAAAGTTGAAATTTTTACCATAGAAAGTCAACACGTGTAACAATATTGTGTGAAATTTTTATGATTTAATTTTCTGTCCCACGAAAGAAAAACTAAGTTAAAGTTGTCTAAAAATCGTTATTTTAGAAATTTGAACTTTTTTTTTATTCTTGTGTTATTAAAAAAAAACCAAAGTAAAACACTATTAAATTATAATACTGAATAATGTTAATATGATGTAAAAAAAATTGATTAATAAAATTGTATTTCATCATTAATTTTAATTTGAAAATGTCATTTTTTTATAAAAACAAAAAAAAAACCTTTTTTAAAATTACTTAAAAAATCCTATTGTTAATTACTAGACATGTTAAGAGATCTCATAATGAAAAAGTGATGAAATTTTCAAGTCTTTAGCTTAAATACATAGGCTTCAGGGATATTTTTACGAAATACCAGTATTTTGCAATTTCAAAATTTAATAAATCTACTTTCACCTAAAATTTTTATTTTGGAAATTTTTTTATATTTAAATACTTAGCAACTCATGTGAGAAATTTCAAAAAATTTAGAATGGTCGCGCGAACACTCTGGATGATTTGGTATGGATACTAAAGTAAAATGACTTGAGAAGCTTACATATGATAATAATAAAACAAAATACAATTTATGGGAGCTATTAAAATTTCTTTTTAAGGTTTTCCAATGTCTATGGTCATATAGTAATATAATATTATAAAAATAAGTCCAACCAGGGGCAGACTCACCCAAAACACTAAGATAAAATTGCACCCCAAGCTACGACTAATAATAATATAAAAATAAAATTGAAGAACTAAATATAATACTTTGAATCTCAGGTCTTCAAATATATTACTAATAGGTCTATTTCCTTGAAATTTCATTTTTATATTAGATCAATACCATGAATAGGTTAAATGAATTATAAATAAAGTTAAATTTGTTAGTATTATATGGAAAGGTTAAAATTTTCGTTTAAACCCTGGTCAAAATAAGATATTGTATATGTGATGCTAATAAGGTTTCATAAAATTCTTGGAAACTCATCGTTTGTAGGATAAAAAGCAAATGATGATACAAAAATATTCTAATTAATGTTATTTAAAAAATAATATTACATTATTAATTTTCATATTTAAAATTTTAGTTAGTTTAAAAATTGCTATTAAAGTATAATTAAATATAGCCTAAGAATTATACAAAAAAAAAAAAATGTACAACTTATAACACATACAGCATCCAGAAATTTTAATATTTGTACTCTCAATGAGTAATTTAAAATAAAATTAATACAAGTAACTTTTTTGTATATTGAAGAATTGTACAACAATTAAACTTTAGTTTGATAAAATAATTGAAAATTAGAACTTAGCTAAAGGTTATCTAAAATTTATATTATTTTAAAATTATATTTAAATATAAATAAATAATTGGCCAATATTGTTAGAAAAAATATAATTGTTTTTTGCAAAAATTCTATTTACAATCATATATGTATGATCATACATATATGATGACTTAAACAAAAATATAAACTGTAAAAAATTCAAATTTTTAACATTGTTTAAAAAATTAAGTAACATTAGAAATCTATAAATTGATTGGCAATATATACCACTACTTAAAATGTTTGAATACTTCAAATAATTTTAAATTATAATTCTAAAAAATTAACCTAGTTAACATGAATAATTTTATAAATCCAAATGTTATTTTTCATACGTACATCAAAATTATAACAAATTTATTATTTGACAATTTAAATATAAAATTTAAACATAAAACCTAGAATACAGATAATATAATTGTTCAATTATATAGAATTAAAACATTACTATAAATTACTAAGATGAATAAAATTTTATACAGTAATAGTTTATAGTAATGTTCAAGCAGTTACTTATGTGGTAAATAAATATACTTTAGTAAGTTGTATTTTATAGAAAATAATATCATACATCAATCAAAAAATATATTTTTCTCAAATACATATAGACTAATGAAGACTCAAAATAATACACAAAGGCGTAACTTCATAAATTTAAATATTAAACCCAACAAGAATCTTTTTCACCATATAACTTAATCTTTTTTTATCATACACAAAAAGAAATTCAACTTATTTGAAGCTAATGGTAATACATTACTGTAGCACTGATTAATGACCGATGATATTTAACAAGTTTTTAAAAACATTAGCTAAAATAATCATTATACCTTAGTTCAACATTGCTAAAATTGCAAAAATAAAATCTTACCGTACGACATCTGGCTGAAGTATTATCTGGGTGGTTCATGGTTCAGTAAAATTTTGTGTGACTCACTAAGCATACATGTAGCGATCAACCAGATGGGAAATTATTATTATTTATCTTATTATTATTTTGTTTTACAAATTCATATTCAATTAATTCTCAAATCATAGAAAATAGAGACCAAGTTAGTGGACCTAAATTAATGGAGTAAATTTTATGGAATGACTATATTTGTATTATCAATAATTAATCTATATGATAAACAGCTGCTTGATAAGTTTTAAGCACAAACTAAGATGAGACAAGAGACCTTATCATGAGTTTCTTTTTGATATACATTTTCCATAGAAGGGACATTCAAATATTCCCGAATTCATAAATTATTTTATATATTTAAAACTTTTTAGAAGATATTAATAACACACATATACTAAAAAATACTTCTCCTTAGATCAATCTGTCATAAGTTATGGTTAGCAATTTGGAGGAATGTATCACATTCATTTGTTTAATTTAGAAGTTGTAAATACATACTTTAATAAAAATGAAACTTTTTAAGACCATGTCTTACTCAGCAATTAGCAAATAGTTTCAGTGTTCATAATATAAAATATATTATTTATAAAAATATTATTTTTTGTATGTCAAATGTTCATTTTAGTTTATAAATGAATGAAAATACACGTTTGAAAAGTTTTTTTAATTTAAATATTGTTAAGGCTAATTCACAATTTGGTAAAATTAATGCAATACGTGTTGGAATTGGACTGTGTAGAAAATTAAATTTTGATTTGAGTAAATTTAAAAATAAAAAAATGTTATCCAATATTTTTTTAAAGTCGAATTTTAATAATAGTTAATACAGTTTAATTTAAAATTTAACATAAAACGTTATATACAAGTATTCTTTTGCTCTCTTGTTATATAAAATTTTATTTTATGGTAGATTTATTATAATTATAAAATAGAATTCTTTAATTTATAAAAAATTATATTTTAAGTATATTGTATTAAACTTGAACCACTCCAAACACAAGCTATGCTTATTGGAGGGGTATCAAATATTTTTATTATTTAATTTGTTTAAATTATTTTATAAATTGTTCTCATATTTTATGAAATAAACTTCTTATAAGATATGAGCTAAAAATGGCTATTTTGAAAAAATTTTATTTTATTTTATTTACATTTTTCTTTATTAATGATGAATAATAAAAAATGTAATCACATAAATATTTTAAGATGGCAATAATTATTAAAAACACATAGTAAAATTAATACCTTCTCAGCTTCGCATCGAAGCTAAAAAACAAAATTATAAGCGTTATCAGTTAGGTCTGAGACATTGTATATACTTTATGAATATATTTTTTCTCTATAACCTATTACTTAAAACCATTTCTTTTTTATTCTACTGAATGTTAAGAGATTTAAATCAAAGTTACTTTTTTTTTCAATAATAACACTTCATTGACTTTCAAAAACAGTTAAATACCCATGACATACACGATTATTATTATTTTTATTTAAAATTTTTGATAATCATATACAGCAATACTAATGGCAAATTTCTATATAATTATATAATAAAAATTATATTAATTTATATTCAATCAAAAACATAAGAAATATTTTAATTAATTTTATAACTAATATCACAACTTATCAACAATAAATATTGTTTATGAAATAATGTATACATACAAATTTAAATATTATTCGATATATTTTCAATTTGCATATGTATAAATAAAACAGAATACAACATAAGGTACAAAGTCAAATAAAAAAAAATTAAGTACAAAAATTAAAAAAAAAAATTATCTAAAAATATTAAATAATATTAATATTAAAGTTATACTTCATACCTTTAGTAAGACAATAATGTATTGATGATTCCTTGAAATAAGATATAAACTACAAATCTATTTATGTAGTAGTAATTTGTACTTGACAGTTTGTTCTTTAGCAACCATAGGAATACTACTTACTAAACCTTTATCTAGACTTAGTTTATGATACACATCTGTTTGAACATTCATGTTACCCTTAAAGTACAAACGTAAGCGAATAACAAATTCACCCCATCCATGCCTAGTTAAAGAGAATGGTTTTTGAATAACATCAACAATATGGTTTGGTTCATATGATTCATGTAAGAAATATCTCACTTTTTCAATATAAATCAAATTATCTGAACTCTCTTCAATATTTCGAACATACACTGTCCATTTGTACTTCATTGCATTCTCGGAATCACTAACCTTTACAGTGTTTCCAATGACAAAAGCCAAATCAATAAGCCCATTTGGCGGGGAAAAATTAATTGATGGAACTGGATTATTAATTGATTTACTAATAAATTCAATATTACTAGCAGGTTCTGAAATAATTTTTGAAGTTGATGGCATATTATTAAGATTCTTCATAAATAAACTTAAGTCTTTTGCTTCATCTTCACACTCCAAGTTTTTTAAAATAGCATCTCTCTGTCGATTTTTTTGGCCATTTTCATTATTTTTCATGTTAGCAAAGTGTGAAATTACAATACATCTACGAAGTTTCTTTAGTTGACTAATACAAGAATAAATATTTTTATCAATTTCATCAAGAGTTTGTTTTGATTTATTCAGCTCTAAATTCAAATCATCTTGAAGACCATTACAAATTTTTGTCACTTGATCTGGATTCAATTTTTCTAAAGCATCTCTAATTGAAGTCATTTTATAGCAATCAAACTAACTAATAATCTGAAAATATTTAAATGATTAATTAATACATACTTATTTTTAATCTTAAACTTGTACATTACTAATTGAAGAGTGAATGTGTCAAACGTTCTATGTGCCAAAAACATATTTGTTCAGAAAATACAAAAAACAATGGTAACATGGGCATGTCTCACATATCGAACACCATCTATGAATGCAATTTTGTACAAGTAAAAAATTTAATTGACATTTGAAACACATACAAGATTGTGGCCTTTGGCACATAGAACATAAATCAGAAATAAAACAATTTTTCACTTTTTTGGCACATAGAACGTTTGACACATTCACTCTTCAATTATTGTACTATTATTATATTTTCCATAAAAAGAAATGTAATAAATTACTTTACAAGTTACTACATATAAGTAACTTCTGCATGAAGGAACAATGACATTACTTTCACAATTTTCGTCAGTGGTATCAAAAAGAAGATAAACTTAAAAACTACTGTTAGATACAGAACCAAGTCTTAAGTGTAGGTTATAAATAATAACCCACGCCAACTGCTTAAAACATATCTATTTTGTCTATTTCAATTCCATTTTCCAAATTTAATCTTTTGATTAGCAATTTTGTGACAAGTCATCAAATGTATGTACAACCCTTTTCCAAAACAAAATTAAAACTCTAAGATTTATTACTCTTATGTTTAAGATTAGCCATTGCAAAAAATAATGAATTTTGACAATTTAAGAACACTAATGACAAATATATACATGTACTCACACGATAAAATTTTTTTTCTAACGAGTAAGTAATTTTTATTAACTATAACATTTAAAAAAAAAAAAAATTGAATTTTTTTAATCTTAAGTTACTTAAAGTAATAAATAGTTAAATAACATTTTGTTACAGTAACAAATAATTAATACACATGATAGACAAATAAAGCTTAAATTGGGATCCATTCACATCTATTAATTTAAGAGTAAGAAAAAACTGTAATACTTTATTTTATAAATTTTTTTTAATAACTTCCCCCTATATCTTATTTATCTAAGTTCTTTAGATAGATCTATGACCTGTACAATTCTTTGCTACTTCCAACTTGAATTTTTACACACATTAGCATAGTTTTGAAGAGAACTATGGGATCTTCAATCCCTATAGAAACATTTATAGCCCCATTAACCAATTTAATTGGTTAATTTCGGGAAGGGGAGAAAGAGAGATGAAGTAATGTGGTAAAGAAATTTCGTCACAGGTCTTTTATCCAAATTTATTAAAAGGGGAAAGGGACTATAGATCTCACGCATAAATTTTTCAAGCTATACTCAAGTACACACGTTAATGCTTGACAAATAAATAAAATCACTATATATTCTAAATAAATTATTCGTTATGTAATTAGTATTACACTTACAAAAATATATACTACTTACATTCTTTTTAATATGACTGAAAACTATATCTTCTGATTAAAAATTACAGTGATATTAACATTTTGCATTATTAATTATTTAAAAATTTGTGAGACTGTTTTCAGGTAAATTTACTATAACCAAACACAATATAATTTACATGTGGACTTATTATCAGTAAATATTTTGTTACATGAGATTCAGTAGTATCTATTGATAACATCAATGAATTTTCAAAGTCGTATTATGTTATCAACAGCATAAAATCTGTACTAATACAATGATTCTGAATTAGAGTACAATTTTTGTAACAAATTATTCTAGTAGGAAATTTTATGATCATTAAATGTGGCTTTAATATTTAATTTTTAATTTTAATACTCATTTTAAAAGCTCAACCATATATTTAAATATTCAAAGAAGTATAAAAATATACATTTTGGTAATACTATGTCACTAATAAAGTGTAAGCTTTTTTTATAATTTTATAAACCAACAACCCATTTTGAAGGGCTAGTGCAACAACTAGATACATCCAATATTTTCATAAAATTATTTTGTTAATCTTGAACAAATATGATATTTTTGTGTAATTCAATACAAAAACAAGTTCTATATTCTTGTTATTCGTGGAGATAATTAATTTACAAAAAACATTTTACCATTGCTTTTAATTTTGATAAAATTTCTTCTCCTGAAAAATTAAAAAATAGACTTATCTGGTTTTTGCATTAAAAGCTGAAGGGTACTGACAGGAGGTAATTGATCCCTTAGCCGTAGTTCATAATACTATCAGGTGGCTCTAAAGAGTGTATTACGGTTTATTAAATTCTGCAGCTATTTTTTAAAATCTGATTAGTCCACTTTTAACAATTTTTCAGGAGAGCAAAAACAAATTAAACATTTTTATAGCGTCATAGAAATTGATATTTTTGAAATACGAATAACTATCCTGATAAAATTAACGGATTTCGAACTATAGATATGTTGGGAGTACTACCTTTGATTACACGACCATTTGTACTAACAAATTATAAACAATTTTCATGTTTTTTTCTTGGTTCAATTTTTTTTGTAAACTAGTTATAATATTCCATCCAGTTATTTTATGTTGCCTTGGCAAACAATTAAAATTTCTTAACTTTTATTTGTTTGTCCCCGTATATGATGCTTTAAAATGTTACCAAAAATCAAAGATACTGTAATATGACAATTTTTAAATGTATATTATAAAACATTTAAACTCTACCGTCTTCATAAAAGTATGATATTAAGCTATTAGGACCAAATTGTATCATAACTACAAAAGTAGACTTTAACTCTTTACCTAAGCGGTTTATTTTTAAGACAAAAAAAATGTGGACACTTCATTATCAAGATAATACATATATATTAGGCTGGTCTTTATCTACTAAGGCTAAAAAAAAAAATTGAACAAAACATAGCGGCACCCCCCAATTTTGTTTATTTTTAGATAATTATGATTTTTGTTGAGTTTCGTAAGATTTACTTACCCCCTTCGGGTGCCGAATGAGGGTTGAAAATCCACTGAATAGGGTGGTTTTTTAGTTTTCGGCTAATATCTCAACAACAAAAGCTCAAAACGAAAAATTGTATAGAATAAAAATTATAGACCTTAATATTTTCTATATAAATTGTATCTTTACAAATTCTCGTAGGTTGATTTTTTTCCTCGCCAGGACAAAAACAAAAAAATAATTTAATAGTTCGGTACATCAAACAATTATAAAAGTATTTACGTTTACAGGGACAACTGATTATAATATATACAAAATAAATCATAAAAAGATTATAAAATATACTCTATAATATAAGTTTAAAAAAATGCATTTTATAAATAAGCATACTAAGGTGTCAATGAAAGTACTAGTTTTTCTTTACATAATTGTCATTTAAATTAGAATGTTGCTGTCATCGATTTTTTTTTGTGATCTGGAAAAACTTTTCGATATTTCTGAACGACCTAAAACATGTTAAGTATAAATTAGTAATTTAGCAATCCGTTCTATATATTTTATTGCAATTTACTTGAAGTATAAATTGTTTTTGTGCTTCATTTTTCGTTAGTTTATCATTGAACTCCTCCATCAATTTCACACCCCTTTCAGCAGTGTCATTTACAACACGGATTGATTTAACTATTTTTTTCGCTTCTTGGTAATACTTATCACCTTCCCAATTCGAGGAGTCTAATTTCAAAAATTCTGTATCGATATTAAATCTTATAAAAAAATATCCCGAACTTTGTTCAAGCATATCTGTAAAAAACTCTTGTTTCAGAAACGTCTCCACATTATCTATTTTTAAAAAATATTTTTTTGGACCAAAATCGCTTTGATCTGATGGGTAAGTAGATAAATTATTTAAAATAATTTTTGCCATTTTATTTCGGGTTTCTAACGAAACTCTATTATCAAATATTGAAAAAACAATACATTCTTGATTAAAGTACCACAAATGATTTAAAAATTTTTTTAAACACGAATCTGCAATAATTTTATCATCATTTTTATATTCATATAGAGTCCTTATTAAGTGCATATCGTTTAGTGGCGCTTCACATGATTGGTCAGCCATAGACCACGGCCTTATATAAATTTTTATAATAAATGCACATATTCTGCATATTGCAGTCTCTTCCGACTTGGATAATTTGAATTCTTGTTGAAGTAAAAAAATTTTCAAACAATAAATGCCTTTAGCCATCCATCTTGCTTGATGATAAGCCCCAGGTTGCCTAATAATAATACCTCCTGGTGGTGATCCTCCTAGAATTATAATTACAAGCTCTAAAAACTCTTTATAGTCATTTCTAGGATGTTTTTTCAAAATCGCCTCCTAACAAAATAATAAAATGTTTTCGCGTTTAGGAGATACAATATTTTCCAAATTTTTATTTGTATTCCAAATGCTAATATTCTTAGTATTAATATTATTCCAAGTACTTTTAAATCTTTTAAATAGGGCAATATCTGGGCCTGATGATACATGAAGTTTCGTTTCAGCAATTGCAGTTTGGAGAAGCAACTCGTAAACATGGTGGCGGCATGCAAGATATAAAATATCCCTATCTAACTTTTGTTCTAAAAGTGTACAAGCCCCGTTTATACGCCCAGTATTCAATGCTGTTGTATCGAATACAAATGCTTGAAATTTGTCCAATAAAGACCACTTTGCAAGGTTATCATATACTGCAGATGATATTTCTAGCCCTGTTCCAGATGGTATTTGAGGGACACCAAGTAACTGCTCTAAATCAGGGCTAGTTATAATTACTGGTAGACGATCTACTTTGTCTTGACCAGTCAAATCGGGTAGTAATTTACCATCCCAGTGAACTACCACAAAATTAACTTTTTTGTTTAAAAAATCAGACTTTACCTTATCTGCGCTTTCCTTCCGAAAATGTTGCCGAATATTTTTAATGGATGTTCTATTTAAAATGTAATTATTTTGATCGATGGATAAACTATCAAGGCACGCAGATAGTATATGAACGGCATCACGGTCGCTAATTTTGCATTTGTCTAATGCAGCTGATAATCTAGGTGTAATTAACTGAATTGTGCCTCTATTTGTACCAGAAGGACCTGGTTGAGGTTCTTCTAAAATCAGGTTTTCATTGTTCAACTCCTCCGAACTTACTGACCTATCTGACAGTGTTTCAACTAAAACGATACCAATAAATAAAATTAAAAATCACGTGTATCTAATTTAAATATTTTAATTATGTTATATCTTAAATTACCTGAGAATAACTTTAAGGCTTCTGATTCATGTTTTCTTTTTTTATTCAATTCTTTTTCAATTTTTTTTTCTTTTCTTTTTTCTTTAGCATTAAGAACCATATCTACACCAAGCATAAAACCGGGGCGTCCGGGGAGTCTCTGTGAGAGCAAAAATTTTCTATCTTCTACAATACTTATTATATTTAGTGCATCTTGATGAGCAATATCGAAAAGATTATTTAGACTTTCTATATAATTTTTTTCTTTATTCTTTTGATGTTCGCTTCCATGGTTTTTACTTTTTTCCAGTGCCCTCCAAGCGTCATATTCCTTTTTCAACTTTTTTACACAGTGTGATTTATCTTTTGTTGGAATCCGTGCTTTTCTCCAAAAAATTAAACATTCCTCTATTACTAGTAGACAACTTTCAGACAACGTCATTTTGGCAAAACGCATGTTATAAAATAATACACGCATACAGTCACCTATGGAGGGTAATTTGCTGCCAAGAATTTGAATATTAGTTGGGCCAATTAAATAAATAAATTCTTGCGTCATTTTCAAATATCTCAAAAAAATTAATTAAGCTGAATAAATGAATAAATAAAAAACACTAAACAATACCAAAACGCATGAACCGCGGAACAAACGAGTAAAAAAAACAAGTTGTAAATAAAATATTATAATAAATTGATCGTATTACTAAAGTAGCCAAACTTATCAAAATTTTCCAGTTATTGTTAAATGAAAATTTCAGCAATAAATAAACTAGATATTCACAACATGTTTAAATGTCAATTATGTAAAGAAATACTAGTACTTTCATTGACACCTTAGTGTGCTAATTTATAAAATGCATTTTTTTAAACTTATATTATAGAGTATATTTTATAATCTTTTTATGATTTATTTTGTATATATTATAATCAGTTGTTCCTGTAAACGTAAATACTTTTATAATTGTTTGATGTACCGAACTATTAAAATATTTTTTTGTTTTTGTCCTGGCGAGGAAAAAAATCAACCAACGAGAATTTGTAAAGATACAATTTATATAGAAAATATTAAGGTCTATAATTTTTATTCTATACAATTTTTCGTTTTGAGCTTTTGTTGTTGAGATATTAGCCGAAAACTAAAAAACCACCCTATTCAGTGGATTTTCAACCCTCATTCGGCACCCGAAGGGGGTAAGTAAATCTTACGAAACTCAACAAAAATCATTATTATCTAAAAATAAACAAAATTAGGGGGTGCCGCACAATTTATTATAAAGTTGAAAAATAAGGACCAGCCTAATATATATTGATTATTTTTTTAAAACTGCATATTATAATAACACATAAATGATCGCGAAGAGTAAATAATGAATAATAATACTACATAACCTAACTAGTGTACACAGAAAAATCATTTTGTATTTTAAACTACATTTATTTAGTGAATTATACTAAATATTACTAAATACTAAATACTATTATACAGCAGGATTATAGATATTTGCTTAATTAAAACAGTAAAAACTTTTTTTAATATCATATTATCACTTATAATAATAATATATAAAATTTGTACAAGATTGTCACATATTATGAATACAATACATATTATACTTACAAGATCACCAAAACAGGATTTTTCTTTAAGAGACAAAATCGAATCATTGAAAAAATCTTCAACTAACGCCTACGCGCAGAGGTTTCTCTCATAATTAGCCAGATGAAATTGAATACTCAGCTTATAAGATTATTCTAGAATCGTTAGTAAATAAACTGCCCTTTGTTCTTTTCAATTACTTATAATTTGTTACTAATTGTCAAAATTTTGAAAATAATTATTGGGCGAAAATTGTAAAAGCAGTGAGAACTGTTTTTGGTACTTAAAGATATACACATAAAGTTAGGTGACGAGAAAAGGCTAATAAAAAATTACACTGAGTATCATACATGATACTCAAGATAGTTAACTTGCTAGATTACCCATCTCAAACAAAAAATTCCATTTTTCCCTATTAAAACCAATCTTTTTTTTTCAATTACGTAAAATCCACGACACTTCTCATTTTAATTTATTTATCTCGTATTTCAGTATTAATGTAGATACTGTGAGGAATAGATCTAGAATTTTTTATGAGGTATGCTATGGAAAATTATTTTTGTTTAAACGTCAATTTAATATAGTTTTTTGATCAGATAGATCTTTTTTTTTTTTGCTCATAAATGTTTTCTGATACGAACACTTACAAAGTAACGTGTACCTAAACGTCCATATAATTTGTAGCATATAAAATATTTGAATATATGTTTTTTTTTATTTGCCATATAACCCATCCTCTTAAGTAAAAATTTCAATTTTTTTATTTGAACAAGATAAAAATTTAATTAATGCATATACTAAAATTTTAATTAAATAGACATGATAAAATGTGTGCTACTCTACTGGCTTGAATTTATTAATTACTTACTTAAATAAAATATTAATTTATTTTTAGATACTAATGATTAATATTTTATACGTTATTCGCATTGATTATTTTAATGATTTTATAATTTTATTTATCATTTTAAACATATTACGTAGTAAGTTTTTGAACGTATACAGAATGAATCAGATTTAACTGAACATTCTTAAAACTTTTGAATCAATAATCATTTCGCAGTTATTTTTTAAAAACAATTTTTCCATTCTCAGGCTACTTTAAAATATAATTCCATTGAAAATTCTATTTATTAAATTCTATTTATTAGTTTTCTAATAAAACTTTGTTTTGTTGCTCAGAACACTTATTTTGTTTTTGTAATAAATAGAAAAAAACATTGATGTATAAAATTTTATTATCTTGTTTGTGTACAATCAACAATATATTATGACACTAGAAATTGTTATAAGATAATTAGTCTGTCATATCATTTGAACTTCAGTCATTGTCTCTAATGCTTTTTTCACGGCATTCAGATTCATTTCGGCTTTTATTCTAGATTTAATAATTTCTTCTTCTTCCTGTAAAATTTCATTAAACTTATTTTCTCTCATATATGGTTCAAAAATATTTTGAATCATATATTTTTCAAAATTGTCTAAGATTGAATCAATCATTTTATAATGTATTCGTTTAGCCACAAAATCCATAACGTTTTTTCTCACGAATTTAAAGTAACATTTTGTCAATTTTCTATGAAACTCTACTTGATTAGATATTTCATTGTTTTTATTCAATTCATTTGTACCACTAAGTATTTTTAAAAGAACTTGTTTTTTTTCTTCGTCCGTCATTATGATCCTTAATTGACCATAATTAACATATTTAACAGATTGTTTAACATAATTTTTATCCTCCTCATAGTCAGAAAATACTTCTGTTTCTTCAGTAAACTCCGCGCCCGAAGCGAGGGCCAAGAGTTTTTCTGATTGTATCAATTCTGAAAGAAAATCTGGACTAATCGTAGTAATGCAATTTTGATATGTTTTTACATAGCTTTTAACGAAATACTTTACATCATTCACTGTTTCGTCTAGCATATTATTGAGTTTGATTTTTACCTAAATAAAACATTCTTTGTTATTACGTAATATAATCCCATATAATGGATATGTTTATTTAAAGCTGTTATACAAATTTGCAAAATTTATAATTATTACCATTGAAATCAATTAGTATTTAAAATACATTTTTTTTAAATACTCAAGTAGCAGACATTTGAGTTTAAATTGTCTATCCCTACCCGTTCCTCTATGTGGTTGGAAATTGGTTGATCAAGGCTGATACTCAGTTTTTTAATTTAACTCATTAAATTTAACGTTTGAAAAAAAAATTTATCGAACTATTTTTAAAAAACATGTTTTTTAATAAAAAAAAGTATTTAATAATTTTTCTGTCATGCGTAGTATGTAATCTTAATTATAATTAAGGAAAAAGGTAAACATTTCAAAAATATACGTTTTTACAAAATATTTTGTTTATTGTATTTAGCTTAATAAATTGTATGTGATCAAATTGATAAAAATGAATTAAAAAGGGTAAAAATCTATACTTTTATCATCAAAATTGTTTAAATAAAAAAGTAAAAAACGGTAGCACAGTGGGGTCACGGCACATTATGGACGTGTGATACTTGGGACAAGTATAAATGATATCTGACATTGATTTTAATCACTATCATAAGAAACACCTCGATACAAATCTGTAGATAGTTTAATTGTAAGAAATTGGTGGATAATTACAAAAGCAACATCCACTTCTATTTCATTAATTATATCCTAATTAGTAGTTTTTAGATTTAAAAGTATAATTTATGAATAATTATTCATTATAACAATTTAATATATCATAAAATTAATATTTAATAATTTAATAAATATTTATTACGTATATTCATATACAATTGGGGAGTGCTGATTTATAATTAAAAAGTTCAAAATTAAGAACCATCTTAAAGAACATTTTGTCACGGTTATTTTGGTGTTATCTTTTTGCACAATAAGTCTTTTCAACACAAAAAGAATTTAAAAATTTTTAATTTTAAATTTGGATAGTTTTTATTCAAAAGTTGTATTATGCATTTATTGTATACTTACTTGATTGAAGAGTCTCGGAAATCTCTTAATTTTTTCTAAAATTCTTTCATCGATTGAATCAAATATGTTTGACATTTCTTCCCGTACAAGATATACACAGTCTAATGAAGGTTTAGTTAAAAATTTAAGTTGCCGACTAACTAATATTTTTAACGCTTTTTCGTTTACAATGGAGCATTTTTTTGTTCCAGATGAGTTCAATAAAATATTGGCTATCTTAGATTTATCTAAATCTTGTAAAGGGTCTATATCAATAATTTTTTGCAAGTACTCTTTGTTAATCATGTTAACAATTTTCGCTCCGCCCTCAATACATTTATCAGATACATTTTTTCGATTTCCATTGACAGTATCACAATAAGATTTGCTCATGTCTTTTAATAAGCCATACACAAAAGATGCATTGCTTTCAGGAGTTTTTTTTAGTTTTAACTCGTCTTCCAGATGTACCTTTGTTAGTTCCAATTTATCTTTTAAAATCGGATAAGTTTTCTTTATTTGAGTTATTAAAACACGTTGTAATAAATTTGACAATGCTTTATTACCATTAAACTGACATATTTCTGGATAATTTTTTTTTAGAAACTCCTCCTCTGCTTTTATTGCAAGTTTTAAAGATTTTTTATCATTAATGTCTTCTTGAGATCTGTTGATTACACCGATAATACCAAGCCTAACAGGAATTTTTTGACCGCAAAGTAAATCCGCTGTATCTTGTAACGTACCCTTGTCAATTAAATCGAGTTTAGTTACGACAGCGATAGTCCTGTGCCCTTCTGGATCTACTTTTCTAGCGATTTTTAAACTTTCACTAGTCGATGGATCCGTGTTAGCCGTTACTACTGCCAATATAATCGTGTTTTCTTGGTTAACGTAGAAGTGCACAAGCTCTTGTATTTGTTCATCAATATCCTCGGGTTGATCACCGACTGGAACTTTGGTTAATCCTGGTAAGTCGACAAATGTTAAGTCAAACTTATTTGTGTATACTTTTAATATGATTTGTTTATGAGTTATTCCTTTAAACGAACCAGCCAATATATCTGTTCTAGTTTCGATTTCTTCTCGAACTTTATCAAAATCGTAAAATATTTCATCAGGTCTATGGCTGAATATAGCCCATTGTTTAATATTGTCGATTTCTGTTTTTTCAATCATATTTTTAAAATCTTCTTCAGAATACTTAATCATTTGCAGCACTAGTGGTGCTCGAGTAACAATTCCCGTACCGCGTGGCAAAAAAGATCTCCCTACCAAACTTTCTAGGACCGAACTTTTTCCTGAGCTTTGAGTTCCAACCACAACGATTTGAGGTAAACTAATTTCATGTTTACCGATTACAGAAAATACCTCCTGTAGCTTATTAATAACTTTTATCAACGATTGCATAGCCAAACATTCATTATCATTTATTTCGTCAAAACTTTTTTCATGGTCTTCTGGAGTTTCTGGAACTTGAATTGTATTTCCCATGTTTAAAATTAATATAAAGCTGTAATTTACTTCCTAGAAATATATAAACAAACTTTAATAGTAATTATATTTTAAATTAGTTTGTAGTTTATACACTGAAAATAATAACTTGAGAAAAACGCGTTTAAAATAGAGCAAGGCAGGTTGACACTTAACGCAAGTTGATTTTGGATTTAAAAAAATTAATAGTGTATTCGATCTTCTTTTGGAAGTATATGATAAAAGTATTCAACTACAAAAATAAATAATTTTACTTTGTAATTTATTAATTTTTGAACTCAATTTGTGTGTGCTACTACCAGTCTATAACATTCCAATTTTTTTTGTAATATGTTGCTATATATATACATATCATAAATTTAAAAAAAAAAATGATTTTTAGTTACACCTGAAATTAACAATAGATTTTAAAATTATAATAAAATTTTATAATACTATCAGTTGAAAACATCTTTTTAACAATTTTTTTTTATTGGTTTTTTTAGTTAAAGTATTAATTAATTCTGCATATTTTAATTGTAGAATCTTTTTTAAATATTAATAGTTAATTAAAAATGATTACTATGATTTCTATTTAAGTGATCTATTATCATAAAAGTGCAAAAAAATCGAGCTTTTCTGATAAATTTACTGTAAATAGTAATTATAAAATTTCCTACCTGCATATAAATCTTAACAATATCATTTTTAGCTTCGATACGAAGCTGAGAAGGTATTAATTTTACTATGATGTGTTTTTTTTTTTTTTTATGTCTGTTGCCACTTTTTCTCAGCTCTCACTGGACCGATTTCTTTCAACAATACGTCAATATATCACAAATCGTATCTAGTTGAAGACATTACCATTAAAAATTGAAAAATTTTCCCTCGTTCACCGTAAATGGGGGAGGTTTTTTTTTCAGAATTTCATTTTGAATGTAATTTTTCAAAAAAAAAGAAATTATTTATTCAGAGGATCCCTAATTAAATCATTCTCTTAGTATAAATACTGCAGTTGTTACTGCTACTTTGAATACTAGTCAGGGGCTTACAAATTTAGAACAGTTTTCTGCTGTACTAAATATGCCTTGTATGAGTAATAAGACGTATAAAAAATATCAAGATTATATTGCTAAGCAAACTGAAAAATCTGCATGGGATTCGATAGAGTTAGCGGGAAAGAAGAAACTAGGTTTGCTATTGAAAATGGATAAGTGAATGACAAAGGACTTCCCATAAGAACAGGCTTATAAAACTTAAATATTTTAGTGTGTAAATAATGTAATTTTGTAAATTGAATTCATATAATTAAAATTAGTTTTTTTATAGTTTTATAACTTCAAAATAATCGATATGGATGTCATATGATTTAACTTGTTTTCTGTATATATTTAGTTTTTCTTAATCGTCGAAAATAAATAGTTTAATTATTTTTATAATCAATTAAAATTTGTAAAATCATGACACGTCTATTAGTATTTACAGTGAGGCTGGTGCCTAATTATAGTTTTTATACTACATAAAATAAACGTGTGTCGTCATCAATATAATCGTATTGCTACAAAAAGTAAGGCAGGTACACAACCGGTTTTGTTATCGACTATAACACGACGAAAATACTCCCAATATTGGACACTCACACTAATAATCATTTACTTCTCACACAACGACACTGCGTAACATGTAAAAACTACAAAATTGCCTATATTCGACCCCTGAAAAAAGGTCAGTACCCAGACGCTTTAACATTATTTCTTGTTGCGCCTATAGTGAGGCTTAAAAAAAGCACGGATCCCTAACTTAGGAATCCAGTGATCTCTTTCCTAACAGTGAATCTATTGAGTGGATAGTCAAACCAAATATTTAAAAAATATTCCCTCCTTCCTATGCATAATTTCTGCAGGAGTCTTTATATGAAATCAGATAGTTTATTTTTAGCATAAGCTATCAAATATGTAGAAAACTATGGAATAGTCTTTATAACTGTCGTAATATAAACACCAAATAATTTTAAAAAATATTCAAATAGTTAAATCGAATAGCCTTGAATAGACTATTTGAAGAGTTCTAACGAAGAATTTTTTTAAGTACACGTAATTATAATAAAAAGATAAATGTTAACAAATATTTACCATTCTTAAAATTAATGACTTTTTTTGATTATCAAGGAACTTTTCTATTTGTTCGGGAATGTTTGTTTTATACGTAACGAAAATATTTATAAATACCAATACCTTATTTTACACTTGATATCCTGTGTACTATCTTTGTCTAGCATTACCTGCTCTATTATCTTGTAAAGGCATAATATCAATAAAACGGACAGCTCGTTTTCAATTTTTTTGGGATTCGGTCTCGCTAACAAAAAAACTAACACAAAACATACAATCCTACCTATCAAATCTTTTAATTTGAATATGAGTTTTTTAACATTTACATTCACGCAGCTATGATTTATTAGTTTATGGGAAATTATTATTTTCTACTATAACAATAAAATTTTTTTAGTCAAGTAAAAAATGTTGAAAAATTGAGTAATGTAGTATTTGCACAATTCTTAAACGCTGGTTGTAACTATTATGTAGTTATAGTCTATTAACTTATGTCAAATGTACAAACTGTTTTACATAATGATGTAATATTACAATATAAAATGACTTCTGGTGACCAGAATCTGGTCGTTCAAAGTATTTTATAACTTAAATAATATAGGTAATCATCAAAAATGTTCAATTCGTACATGAATATTAAAAGATAACTAAAAAAAATAATAATAAAATACACACATCATGGTAAAATGAATACCTTCTCAGATTCGCATCGAAGCTAAAAGTCTACAACATAGAAGAATTATTAGAAATCAACAAAGAGGTGGTGCACTTTTATGAATTTACGTTAAGTGAGTCTTTTATATACAATTTATAATGAAAATTGTTGGCTTTTTTTTAAGATGGATATTAAATTTGAAATAAGATTTTCTAATCATGAAAACCTCCTTTCAATAACACATGTTTTATAAATATAAAATCTCAAAAATTGTTTACTATAGTTTCATAAAAATATATCAACTATTATAATATACATCTAACAATACAAATGACTGCCTGTAAAAATATATCGTTAAATAGTTGTTAATAAGAACGAGTTAATTTTTTTTCCACCAATAAAAGTATCTATTATAAATTCTTACTTGATAATCCAATGATACATCGTTACATATGACGTCTATACAATTATAGCAACGTTCTTACTATGACATGAATTGAAGTATAAAATTTCAATTATAGATAAACTATAACACTTCAATGAGTTTAACAGGCTTCAGCAAAGTTGGTATTTTAAAGTAATAATTTTGAACCTACTTTTTATTGTCATTTAAAGTGATTTTTATTAAAAAAAAAAATGAATTTATTACCATAACAAATAGCTCAATTTGCAAGTTTGAAATTGACATTATTAAATAAATAAAAATGAATTTGTTAAGATTAATATGCTGTCAGCAAATTTTATAATTACTATTTACAGTATATTTATCAGAAAAGTTAGATTTTTTTACATTTTTATCGTAATAGATCACTTAAATAAAAATCATAGTAATCATTTCTAATTAACTTTTGGCGTTTAAAAAAATTCTACAATGGAAATATTCAGAATTTAATTAATTTTAATGATTATATATCTAAAAAAAGTTATTCAATTTAGCCAATTATAAAAATAATAATTAAAAAAATATAGGGCAATGTATTGCCCTTATTAGATATTTTAAAATAAAATAAAATACAAAAACCTAGAATTTTAATAGAAAAATAGCATATTTTTGAATACGGTAGCCATTTGCGCATAGAAGATAGGTCGTCGGGACAAATTTTTTTTTTTCATTTTATAGTACATAAAATAAGCTTTAATTTGATATATTTTTAAAGGACGCAGTATTTCAGGAACATTTTCAAAAATTAAGTTGAAAAAATTAGTTTTTATAAAAAAAGTTGCTATTTTAAATCCCCCCCAATAAGCAGGTTAAGTGTTAGATTTTCAAAAAAATGATATCAACTGAAAGGGAAATATCTAAGGTTTTAGTATAAAAAAAAACCCAGAACAGGGGGGTCGCGGCACAGTGGTGACGTGCCATAGTTGGATCAAGTATAATGATATCTAACAGTGATTAAAATCACTTTAAAAAAAAACGCTTCGATGCAAATCTTTAGATAGTGTTTAATTTTAAAAAATTGGTGGATTATTCCAAAAGCTACATGATCTGCTAGTTCATTATTAATATCCTAATTAAGATAAAGTATGTCGAATGAAAAAGAGATTATTAAAAAATATTATTTCTCATAAAAAAATAATGTTGATCCATACACTTTTCAATATGTCATAGCATTATAAAGTTAAAAATGTAAAAAATAAAATCGAGAATTTTCACACAATAATAGCATTCGGTAGCCATTTTCACCGTGAAGATAAAATAAAGTCCGAAATTTTTTTTTTGCATAATAAAGTATATTACATTAGCTTTAATTTAAGATATATATAAAAGTGTCAGACTTTCCGGAACACTTTCAAAATTTAAGTTGAAAAAGTCAATTTTTTGTGAAAAAGTTGTCATTTTGAATCCCCCCCTGTAGGCAGGTAAAAAGTCAGATTTATAAAAAAAATATACCAAATGATAGGTAAAGACATCATGCATCTACAAAAAAAAGAATTATATTGATCCATACATCTTTCGAGAAGTTATAGCATTATAAAGTTAAAAATATAAAAAAGGAATTTTTTTACAAAAATCATATTTTTTTATTAAGTTTGATGTCTGTTTTCACCATGAAGATAAAATAAAGTCCGACATTTTTTTTTTGCATAATAAAATATGTTACATTAGCTTTAATTTAAGATATATATAAAAGTGTCAGACTTTCCGGAACACTTTCAAAATTTAAGTTGAAAAAGTTCTACTTTCTACATGCATTTTTTAGATTTGAACCCCCCTCGTATATAGGGAAATGGTCGGATTTAAAAAAACAGTATGTCAAATGAAAGATGTATATAAATACTACTCCCCGTGAAAAAATTATACTGATCCATACATTTTTCAAAAAGTTATAGCATAATAAAGTTAAAAATGTAAAATACAAAATCGAAAATTTTCACACAAAAATAGCATTCGGTAGCCATTTTCACCGTGAAGATAAAATAAAGTCCGAAATTTTTTTTTTGCATAATAAAGAACATTACATTAGCTTTAATTTAAGATATATATAAAAGTGTCAGACCTTCCGGAACATTTTCAAAAGTTAAGTTGAAAAAGTTAATTTTTTGTGAAAAAGTTGTCATTTTAAATCCCCCCTTGTGGGCAGGTTAAGTGTTCAATTTATGAAAAAAATATACCAAATGAAAGGTAATGATATTATGCATCTATATAAAAAATTGAAAAATTTTCGAAAATTAGCGATTTTTAAATTTGTAATGATAACATATCATAGTAATGATAACACAGTCAATATAATATAATATAATGCTTGATGTTTAAGTTAAGACAATGTGTAATTTATAATATGTTTCTAATATGATTTTAAATAAAGTATTCAATCATACATCAATAGTTATTGTATTATTTAAGACCACTTCCATCATAACATGGCGCAGTTGGTGAAAACATAAATATATTAAATTGGTGGATTGAATTGGATAAAAATGGCACTCGAATATAATAAGCCAAGTGCATTATGTTTAGAAGGAAACATAAGTGAAAACTTTAAAATATTCAAACAAGAAATAGAAATATATTTTAAAGCAACAGAAACGAACAGAAAAGAAAATGATGTTCAAGTGGCAAGATTATTAAATTTGTTGGGACAAGATGGCCTAAAAATTTATAATACAATTACAAATAAAAAAACGGTAGCACAGTGGGGTCGAGGCACAGTGTGGACGAGGCACAAATGGGACAAGTATAGATGATATCTGACAGTGATTAAAATCACTATCATAAGAAACGCTTCGATGCAAATCTGTAGATAGTGTTTCATTTAGAGAAATTGGTGGATTATTCCAAAAGCAACATCAACTCTTATTTCTTTAATTATATCCTGATTTAGTAGTTCTTTGATTTTAAAATATAATATATGAATAAATACTAATTATAGTTTTTAAATTCAGTATGAAATTGTGAGGCCAGCTATATGTATGAACCATATGTGTGGTTCATAGTGTTGGGCGGTTAATAAGAAAGTAGAGCAGAGAATAAGTGTAGCAGAGTTGAGAATGCTTACTTGGATGAGTGGAGTGACTAGAGAAAATAGGATAAGGAACGAGAATATAAGAGGAAGTAAAGGTTAAACTACTTTTTCTCAGCTCTCACTGGACCGATTTCTTTTAACAATACGTCAAAAGATCACAAATTGTATCTAGTTGAAGACATTACCCTTAAAAATTTAAAAATTTTCCCTCGTTCCCCGCAAATGGGGGAAATATCCAAAAAAATTACAAATTTAAAAATTGACAAATTTTGTCTTTTTTTTCTTAAAACTTCCATAACTTTTTCAAAAATCAACAAATCAACATAATTTTTTTTTAAACTAAAACCTTAGATATTTTCCTTTCATTTGATATAATTTTTTTGAAAATTTAACACTTAGCCTGCTCATGGGGGGGATTTAAAATTGCAACTTTTTTAATAAAAACTAATTTTTTCAACTTAATTTTTGAAAATGTTCCTGAAATACTGCGTCCTTTAAACATATATCAAATTAAAGCTTATTTTATGTACTATAAAATGAAAAAAAAAAATTTGTCTCGACGACCTATCTTCTATGCGCAAATGGCTACCGTGTTCGAAAATATGCTACTATTGATTTAAAATTCTTGGTTTTGTATTTTATTTTATTATAAGGGGATTACACCGATTTTCATAAATATTATATCAATCTAAATGACATAGTATAAAAAATTAATCATATTTAAATTTTTTTGTTTCTTTGAAGTTGAGAAAAATAACTTTAAAATTTGAACTACCTAAATTTCCATTTTTATTAAGTGACGAATGAGACGTACGGTTTTTGTGACAGTAACATTTGGGTCTTTCACGACTGTGGCACTGAATTTTTTTTTAATTCTTTTTGAGTTAAAAAAGTGGCAACAGACATAAAAAAAAAAAAAAAACACATCATAGTAAAATTAATACCTTCTCCGCTTCGCATCGAAGCTAAAAAAATGTTTAACTCATTTGATTTTTATCTCATTTAGATTCAATAACTTCAATAAATATCAAGGATTCCATTTATTTTCTCAGCTCTCATTTGACCTACTTTTTTGACAAATTTTTTTTTTTAAATTAAACACTATCAACAGATTTGCATCGAGCGTTTTTTATGATAGTGATTTTAATCACTGTCAGATATCATCTATACTGGACCCAACTATGCCATGACCCCACTGTGCTGGGTTTTTAATATTGTAATTGGCATGGATGGACATTTTTCAATTACTGTAATTGAATAACTGTAATTAAAATACTTTGTACAATTTGTAATTCGTAATTAGTTACATCAGTTCGGACTAATTTGCAATTTATAATTAATCACATAAGTTAAAAGTTATTTAAAATTTAAAATTACGATGAACTACGATAAAATTTTTAATCAGTCAGAAAATTTCATATGTTATAATTATGTCTTGTATTTACTATTAAATTATATTACTATAATATAGTATATATATATACTTTAATATTAAATGTATATTTGTTTATTTCTAATTTCATTTACTTCTTTTATTTATTACATTCAATTCATTTCATCAGCATTTAAAACATACATATGTGTATTAACTTGTTATATGTAGTTGGTTCTTTAACCGAAGCCTAAAAAAATATAGTTCCAGTCCCTGTTTTTTTATCCGGTCAACCAAACTTCTATTGTTATTCTACTATTCATACATAAAAATCATTGATGAATAAAATAGACGCATAATGTTAAATTCAATACAGATTTACTATCATACATTGTTGAACGACCAGCGTTGTGCTGCTGTAGTTCAGAATTTTTTTTAATTTTTATAATAGACTTCAAAAAGTCTTTGACAACAAAATTGATTTTTTTTTTTTATTGTTTTTTTACTAGATATTGCATTTTTTATAATTAAAAACATGAAAAAACACCTTATGTTCTAGAGCCTATAACTTCATATCCAAATAAGCTATCACTGTGGAACTAGCACTGTTGTACTCATATTGAATAGTACTTCAATTTCATTCTTAAGTTTATGAATTTTGAATTTTTTTTAACATCGAAATTTTGATTTAAATTTTTCAAATTTTACAGTATTTTGATATCAACATTTTGAAGGTCAAATAATTTTTTAATCACTGTCAAATATCATCTATACTTGTTCCAACTATTCCACGGCATCACTGTGCTACCGTATTTTTTACATATTACTTATATTATACTTCAAAAATTACCTATATGAAACATTATAAAATTTATAGGCAGTAGTATTTGTGTTGATTTTTAAATAACGAAGCTAAAACATCCGTATTTAGTTAATTATTATAGTGACCTTCGAAAAATTCATAAATTAATATGTTTTTTTATAATATTACGTTTATAGTTTTTTTTATATTTCAATTATTTTAATTATCACATTTCATGCATCTATAAAAAGTTATATCCCGGATAATAATTATTTAACTCAAAACAGATCTCAATTTAAAATATATGTACAACAGTTAAAAACCAAAAATTTTATTAAAATATTTATTAAAATATAAATAGTCAATAGATAATATTTTACATAAATTCTTAAAACGATAAGATGGCATAATAAAGTTAAACTTTTAAGAGGCATAGCAGCCCCTCCAAAAATTTGAAATAAATTCACATTTGTTCCTCAAAAATATATTTTTATAAATATTATTTATATGACATAAAATATTTTTAATTTTAAGGAACTAATTTTTCAACCTTTAATCCATCTAGTTGTTCTTTGATTAACGAAATAACACTTGAAAAAATTTTATCTGAAATATCATCTTTTACAAGTGTCAGAGCAAAACGCTATGACTTTCGAGACTCCTGTAAAATATATACATAGGAAATATAATCTAAATCAACAAACTACTAAATGACTGGATCGTATCTAAACAATCAATATGGGTTTCATTATGAAACTTATACAAATATAAAAATAGAATAGTTGACAACAACATTATTAACACGTAATAAATCACAAATATTATCATGTACTTATATTAGTAGGTTAGTTAAAAATTGACGGACAGTAGATATTATTCATTTTCAAACCATTGTAGTGCACTATAATTTTTCACTATAATTTAAATTAAGTAATCACGTGTCGTTGTAATCATTTTTATTATACAGTGAGTTTATAATGTTATATTTTTAAACACAGATGAACAAGGGACAATAGCGCACACAAAAAAAAGCTAAAATAATTAAAATAGTAATTCTTTTAATAAACAAATTGTGCTTAATCTGTCTAAATAATATGTTTAAGAACAGCTTTAACAAAGTTATTCATAAGAATTAACTATAAATGCGGTCTTAATGCTTTAAGTTGACGTTTATTTGTTCATTATTAAAACTTATAATTTATTTCATGAGCTATCAACTAACAATTATCTGCGAAACTTACAGAAATTTTAATTGAAATGTTTTTTCAAAAAATAAATATTATAACTTCGCTTTTGAGTTTTCAAATTACTAACTTATAATAATTACAGCAGAAACATAGTCGTAGCTAACTTTTTATCTCTACTATATAAAAAACTCTCTGTTAAAATGAGATAACTATAGAGATATTTTCTTCTTTTAACTAGTGATTTTTTAATTGATCTAAAGAAAAAAAGGCTAGTTACACAATGAAAAAAAAAATATCTGGTTGCAAAACATTTTTTAACTCAAGCAGGAAATAAACTTTTTCTATGTAATATAAATAGGTAGTAATAATAAATTTTATTTCACCAATCTAAAAATAATTATAAGCACTTTTAGTAAGTTTAGGTACGTTCAAACTTAGCGATTATTAAACTTGAGGCACTCAAACATTTTAGAGATTTCATCACCTGATTTTTTGAACAAATATTTTGTGTTTTGTTAACAATATTTGTAAACATTTTACTAGTGCTGTAGCTTAATTTGATTAAAATTTAACTGTCTAAAGTTTAATATTAAACTTTATGATAATTTGTGTTTTATTAGATTGACAATTTATATTTCATCATCAAGTTACCAAATCAACTATGATCTATACAATAATTTATATTTACGTTTTGATAAGTATGATGACTCTAATTTTATCTGATCAAGTAGGTATCAATATTATAATAATAATTTTTAAATTAATATTTTATATTAAAATTAATAAAAATATTTTTAAAACTATAGAAATTGCCATTTATAATGCCAAAGATCAATCCAATCAAACATGAAATGCGTATAATGTCAGCCAACTATACTTACAACAAAAATACAATTAAGACATTTTCATTTGATTATCATCAATATAATAATGGTGTGCAATACATGGATATTTACGGTCAGATTTTAAATGGCGTAATTATTCAACCGCATCAAGTAAAAAAAAGAATTCCCATGGTTTAATATAATTTCAAGTTGAAAATTATTTTTCTAATAGTGAATCTCTTTTTTTAACCTTAAATATACTTACTATTAACGAAAAATAAGTTTTATTAAGTTTTTTTTTTTAATTAATGTTTTACAATTATGTATTATATAAATTATTTAATAAACAGTAAATTATTTATTTTTTAGGTTATTATAGAAATAACAAAGTGCAAAGAAAACTTTATTGATTGTGCTAACTTAAGAACAATAGAATTAAATAATATTTGTGATAAAATAGAAGCGATATTATTTTTTGTAAAGATAGATTATTTAAGTCAAGATGTTAAATGTCCATTTCAGGTAAATTTTTCTCCCCATTGTATTTTTAAAGTAGTTAAATAATTTAATTTTCTTATTTCATTTTATTTTCCGAAAAAATGTTTTTTAATAGTTGTAAGGTCAGCTAAAATAACATTTATATTTAAATTCATAAAAAAATTTCAAATTTTATAAATATAATTAGATGACTTCATAGAACGTTATTCCTCAAAAAAATTAAATGCAAAAAAGTAAAATGATTCATTTGTTAGAATATCATTTTTTTTTTATGGAATAACGTGTTATGAAGCCATTTAATTATATTCATATAATTAGAAAAAAATTTACGAACTGCTACATAGCATATTATTTCTGCCAATTCTCCACCTATTTAATTTTACTTAGAAATATGTATCAAATGATACTTTCATATAACATATTTCATAATGTTTTAAAAAAAATATACTTTTTACACGTTTTTTTTTAGTTGAGATTTAAAATTTTTACATAAAATTAAAAACTAAAACTTATGCTATTTTAGCTTTGTTGCGAAGCTGAAAAGGTATTGGTTTTACTGTGATGTTCTTTTTTTTTTTTTTGTCTGTTACCACTTTTTCTCAGCTCTCATCGAACCGATTTCATTCAACGATACGTCAAAAGATCACAAATCGTATCTAGTCGAAGACATTACCCTTAAAAATTGAAAAAAATTCCCTCGTTCCCCTTAAATGGGGGAAACCTCCAAAAAAATTACAAATTTAAAAATCGCCTATTTTCGAAATTCTTTCAATTTTTTTACTTAAAACTGCCATAACTTTTTCATAAATGAACAAATCAATATAATTTTTTTTTATAGATGCTTGATGTCTTTACCTATCATTTGGTTATTTTTTTTATTAATCTGACCATTTACCTGCCCACAGGGGGGATTTAAAATGACAACTTTTTCACAAAAAAATTACTTTTATATTTAACTTTTGAAAGTTAAATATACATATTTAATATACCATAAATTAAAGCTAATATAATGTACTTTATTATGGAAATAAAAATTTCGGACTTTATTTGGTCTTCACGATGAAAATGGTTATCAAATGCTATTTTTATGTGAAAATTCTCGATTTTATTTTTAAAATTTTTGACTTTATAATGCTATAACTTATTGAAAAGTGTACGGATTAACACAATTTTTTTATGAGAAATAATATTTATATCCCTTTTCATTCGACATACTTTATCTTAATCAGGATATTAATAAGGAAATAGCAAATCATGTAGCTTTTGGAATAATCCAACAATTTTTTAAAATTAAACACTATCTAAAGATATCCATCGAAGCATTTTTTTTAATAGTAATTTTAATCACTGTCAGATATCATTATATTTGATCTAACTATGCCACGTCACCACTTTGCCACGACCCCCCTGTTCTGGGTTTTTGTATAGCTCATTGTATAAATATTATTTATACATAATTAACGTTTATCCATATACGATATGATACGTTGCGATCCTTTAAAATTAAGCTAGATTTTTTTCTATTAGCCCCCAAATTAGAATAATTTTATTTTACTGATAATCGAATAAAATAAAACATTATTTAAAGAAAAAAAGGGTGATTGAGTCCATTTAAAAATAAAAATTTGATAAATTTAAGGCATAGAAAGGTATAGTAGAAAATTATTTTTGTCTTTTTTTACATGGAATTAATATTTAAAAGAAATAAACTACCTATTACATTTTCAAAGATATTTCAAAAAATGTAATTTTAAAAGTTGTAAGAATTGCGCTTTTTTTAATTGGAATAATTTTAATAAAAAATATTGTACTATATACAATTATATAATAATTACAACTATTTTAAATAGTTTTAAACGTTTATAGGGAGAATATATAGTGAAAAATATGTCAATTGCCTCCCATGTTTACTCAATGTTTTTCGCTCCAACAGAAAGATGGTGGGAATACTCATTTAAAGTAAAACTATGGACTTACGAAAAAAACAAAGTTGAGTTTATTATGGCTCAAGCAAGTGCTTATTTTTTAACATTTAGAAGCAGAAAAAATTAGCTTATGTGTTTATTTAATAAATAATACATTTAAGTATAGGTATATTATTTTATTTTACCAAAATTCGTTAAACTATTCGTCTTACTTGTAAGAATATTGGAGTTGTTAATATGATTTTTTGGTAGAAAATAAACAAAAAAATTTAGAACGAAAGTACAAGTCGATAAATAATTACTGATTAATATCTATATGAAGCTGAAAAAGCTATTAATTTTACTGTTTTTCTTTCTGTCACTATTAACTTTTGTTTCCTTGTGAAGTATTATTTCAGAATAATACGTTGAAGAATTCCAATTTATATCTTGTTGAAGGCTTAACCCACAAAAAAATAAAAAATGTTCATAATTTATTATTAAGGAAAATATCCAAAATAATAATATTGAAATCGTCTAATTTAGACTTTAAACGAAATTTTTATAACTAATACTTTAGATAATTATCTAATTTGAAAATTTGCTTGAATAGTAGATTTTGAAATGTATCGCACAGAAAAATTTCTAAAATTACAACCACAGCATATAACTTATAATTTAATGTTTCAACCATGTCTCAAAAATTTATATAAATTAAACTAAAGCTTATTCAATATAATTAAGTATAAAAAATCAAATTACCCCAATGATTTGTCTTAAAAATTTAACCGATTTCTTATGTCAAAAAATGTAAAATTACTCATGTAATTGTGCTATTTCAAACCCAAGGGCTCATTTTATTTGTTTTAACTTTTAGAAAAGTGCTGACTTTTAGACACACATAAATTAAAGTGTCTTATTAAATTTATCGTTTATATTTAGAATAGATACGCCGTTGATATACGTACTCACTACATTTTATATGAACATTTTAAATGTATTTCCCAAAATTTTAATGTTAATTATGCTCAATCTTTTTTGATTAAAATATTGTATAATTCCAAAATGTTTTGAATTTTCATCACATTTATATATTTTACAAAGTTCATGTTTATAAAGGAGATTATCTCTCAAATCTCCTTATCATTTGACTACCTCTGTATAATGCAGAACTTAGACTCATTTTTTAAATATAAGTCCATCTTCTACGAAAATATAAAAATTATCTTCGTGCACAATCACACTAAGAATTTTTGTAATAGTAATTTTAATTACTATCAGAAATAAATCTTTTAAGTTTAAACTATTAAACTCTATTTTTGCATTATATTTACAATTATTCACTATCTCTAACCTTGTTTATTTTTTGTATAATTAAGTGTTATACTTAATTCTAATAATTTTATTTCACCTTAATTATAAAAATTGCCCATCATAATTATTTATGCAAAAGAATATTCCCAACAATTTTTTTTAACTAAATTTTTATATATAATGTTACAGGACTAGTGTTATAGAACTAGTCTAGCTGTTAAGAATGAAAAATTTGAGTTGAATTTTTAATCTGAATTACTGTAGTATTAAAATATATCAAGTTAAACAGTAATAATAAAACTATTTAAAAAATAAAATAGTTGTGAGAATATTATTGGAGATGACAAATAATTATAAACCAGGTAATAAAAAATGTTTAACAAAAGTAAAATAAACTGTAACTTTCATTAATTTTATTTTGTAATATAGCTATTATTGCAAACTAATCTTATTATAATAATAATTTGAAAAAAATTTAAATGCCACAAATATAAAATCATTACTTAGTAATTATAAGTTATGATAAAAATTTAAAAGTTAAATAGTAAAGTATTGAACTTCACCCATTGTGATCAAAGCTTTATTTATAGCTTTTAATGTTGTTTTTGACTTTATTCTTAATTTAGTCACGTTTGGATCTTCTTCTAATATTTCATTAAACTTTTGTTCTTCCATACATGGTTCAAATAAATTTTTTATTAAGTAATTTTCAAATTCTTCAACTATAAAATCGACCATCTTATGTTGTATACGTTTGGGTACGAAATCCGCAACAATTTTTTTTACAAATAAAAAGTAATATTTTATCACTTCACTATTAAATTTAACTTGCTTTGACGTTTTCATGTTATCATCTAGCTCATTTACACCAGAAAAAATTTGTGTAAGCAATTGTTTTTTATGCTTGTCTGAATGCTTGATTATTAATTTGTTATCTTTGTATGATACAGGTTGTTTTATATATTGACTGTCAGCATGATTATTCTCATAAAATATTTCAGGATCTTTAGTAAAATTTGTCGTTGAAGCGACTTCCAAAATATCTGATGATTTTAACAACTCCGACAGGAAATCCGGGTTTGTTATGTTAATGGAAAATTGATAAGTTTCTATCATACTTTCAATAAAACATTTGATTTCATCCACTCTATCATCAAGCATTTCATTCAGCTTGTTTTGTATCTATAAGAAAAGTTTTGTTAAAATAATTGTAGCAATATAAGATCATATTAATTCATATTTATATGACTATACATAATTAGACTTCAGGTTAATTATAATTAATAGAAAGATTATTGTTATTAGTATAGCTTCTAAGAGATAATTGTATAATAGAAATGTTTGATTATAGTAAAAATGTAATAAGAATTCATCACTTGTGATATTATTTATAATTAAAAATATATTTAAATAATTAATTTGAAGCTAAAAAATATTTAACACAAAAAGCCAAAAGGATTACTGAAACAAAATCGTGTATACATATTTTGAAAATAATATTACTATTCTCAGCCTTAAACACTTACTAACATTTCGATCGAAAATTTCTTATTTAGGTGAAGTTATCATCTAATCAATTGTTTTATTATATAGTAAAAACTTTTAAAATAAAAATAAATTTAGGATAATATGCATTTAGTATTTAAAGCAAAATTATTTTCAAAATTAAAAACTACTTAACGACAATCGCTATATCTATTTTCAATAATATCAATTACAAAAAAAAATATAATAAGTTTAAATAATAATTAATCTTCAGAAATTTGAATGTACTAATAAATGATAAAAAAAATTCTTCTGCCATAGCCCCGTCAAGCCTGGGGTGACCTCTGAAATATTTAAGTGTAATATATATATATAAGTCTTAGGGTGTGTACCTTACTTTGAAAATTTTGGAAATTCTTCGGGCTCACCCCCCAAATTTGTGTGTATACATATAAAAAGTGGTTATAAAAAATTTCAGTCCGATCAGATAAGTTTAACCCGTACCGACTTGGGGTTGATATAAGGAGTTACTTTTACGCTGTGTCCAAGAGCATAGAAAATTATATCCTAATTGCAACAAAGAAACATTAAAACATAGTTTTTAATGTATATTTTTGTTATAATTTATGAATTATTTTGAATTTAACATTTTGTATTTTATGTTGTAATTTTTTTTTTATTTATACAATAATATTGAGAAGTAAGTATAATTTATAAGAAAAACTGTAAGAATTTAATTTATACAAAACAATTAAATCTACAATTTAGTTTTAATATTTTTTTTTTTGTGAGAGCGCTAATTTACGAGTTAATTTCTAAAAACTAAAAAAGTACCCTATTTGGCCGATTTTCAACCCCAAGTCGGCACGGGTTAAACTTATCTGATCGGACTGAAATTTTTTATAACCACTTTTTATATGTATACACACAAATTTGGGGGGTGAGCCCGAAGAATTTCCAAAATTTTCAAAGTAAGGGACTCCCTAATAAGTATACTTAGATTCAAAATTGTCCAGAATATACATTTGCCTAATAAAAATTCTCAGTTATAAAGTTATCATCCATTTGACCTCAGCCATCATTCAAATCCAACATCTAAAATATGGATAAGAAATCCTGCACCCCATTCGCCCTATATAGTGACCACTACGATATATACGCGTACCCCAAAAAATTGAAATAACACCCTTATAATAAGTTATTTGTTGGTGTATTAAGAAAATATTACAGATAATTTTCTACATTTTTTTAAAATTTTCATTTGTGCATCCTTCAAACAAACAAAAAAATAAAACTACTTGGATACTACATTTTAAATCTATGCTCATTTGATTCTAATAAAAAAAATGAAATTTAATAAAAAATTTTAAAATATCAATTTCATACTCACATCTATGTAAAGTTTCGGGAATCTCTTGATTTTTTCCGTAATTTGTTCATTGATTGATTCGAATATGTTGAACACCTCACTACGTACTAAGTCCACACAATATAATGATGGTTTTATTAATAGTTTAAGCTGTCGACTAATTAATATTCTTAATGCTTTTTCACTTATAATAGAACATTTATGAGTTCCTGATGAATTTAGTAGAATATTTGCGATCTGTTGTTCATCTAAATCTTGTAAAGGATTAAACTTATCAATTTTATGTAAGTATTCTTTGTTAATAAGATCAACAATTTTCGCACCGCCTACTATTTCTTTGTCTGTTACATCTTTTCTATTTCCATTTATTGTATCTGCAAATGATTTGGTGACGTCTTTTATTAACTCAATAACAAAGCATGCTTTACTATCAGGTGATTTAATAACTTTTAATTCGTTTTCTAGCCGTAATTTAGTTACTTCCAATTTTTCTTTTAATAATGGATATGTTTTCTTAATATGCGACATTAAAACCCGCTGTAAAAGGTTAGCTAAGGCTTTATTGCCATTGAATTGGCATATTTCAGGGTAATTTTTTTTTAAAAATTTTTCTTCATCTTTAATAGCATATTTTAACGATTTATTATCATTTATATCAGCTTGGCTCCTATTAACAACTCCGATGATACCTAACTTCACAGGAATTTTTTGACCGCAAAGTAAATCCGCTGTATCTTGTAACGTACCCTTGTCAATTAAATCGAGTTTAGTTACGACAGCGATAGTCCTGTGCCCTTCTGGATCTACTTTTCTAGCGATTTTTAAACTTTCACTAGTCGATGGATCCGTGTTAGCCGTTACTACTGCCAATATAATCGTGTTTTCTTGGTTAACGTAGAAGTGCACAAGCTCTTGTATTTGTTCATCAATATCCTCGGGTTGATCACCGACTGGAACTTTGGTTAATCCTGGTAAGTCGACAAATGTTAAGTCAAACTTATTTGTGTATACTTTTAATATGATTTGTTTATGAGTTATTCCTTTAAACGAACCAGCCAATATATCTGTTCTAGTTTCGATCTCTTCTCGAACTTTATCAAAATCGTAAAATATTTCATCAGGTCTATGGCTGAATATAGCCCATTGTTTAATATTGTCGATTTCTGTTTTTTCAATCATATTTTTAAAATCTTCTTCAGAATACTTAATCATTTGCAGCACTAGTGGTGCTCGAGTAACAATTCCCGTACCGCGTGGCAAAAAAGATCTCCCTACCAAACTTTCTAGGACCGAACTTTTTCCTGAACTTTGAGTTCCAACCACAACGATTTGAGGTAAACTAATTTCATGTTTACCGATTACAGAAAATACCTCCTGTAGCTTATTAATAACCTTTATCAATGAATCCATATGTAAATATTCGTTTTCATTAATTTCGTCAACCATTTTTTCAATTATTCAACTTTACAATTTACCTAAAAATTATTTTTTTAAATTATTTTAATTAATTAATAACTTTTCCAGCTTTCCCGCGTGTCAGTTCACTACTGCTATAATTTTATATAATCTGTTCCTTATAAATGATGTAAATTTAACGAAAATCATTTAATATTTTGTCTACTGAATAAAACTTTGTGATAAAAATTAAACGAATATCCTTAATGTTTTACTATCTAAAAATATGAAGTAACTTTTTACAAAAAAATTTGAAAATGTATGGTTTTTATAATACAACTACATAATAATGCAAGTTTTAAAATACAAATAAAAAAGTAAGATTGGATGCATATTAAATGTTAAAAGGTGTTTTTACACAGACCTATTTATCTGTAAAGATGGAATACATCTTCATTGAACCGTCTAGAGTGGGATGGCCTAGGGGTGTCCTATTCCCGCACATGGCCAATAAAATAGGCCAATAAAAAAATTTCCTGGGGATTTAAAAAATATTATTTATTGCTTTATTCGAAATCAAAAATCATGTTAAGTGTTATTAGTAGAAAAAACATGAGTAAATCTGAAAATATTATAAAAAAAATGTTTATTGTTTATTGCACCTTTGTGCTCAAAGTTTACATGTGCCATTGCTTGCCACTGGTGACTAATCATCACTAAATATCTTCATTGCCTTATTCTGTTCTCATCTGCCATTACATGCCTGGATCTACACTCTGAATCGTCAAACTCAGATGTTCAAAACCATTACCACAAGATCTCATACAGTCCACTCATCACTTCAATAACTTCATCTGTTCAGCTGAGTTTTATATTATTTTTTTTTTATGTTACTGATTGTTTTTTTTAATTGAGTTTAATTATTTTGTGTTCCATGAATATAAATAATTAAATCTTATTTTGTAACTGTTTCATTGTAATTATCGTTCATTATTGTTTTAAGCATATTTTTAGTGCTTTTTAGTTCGATATACTTTAAAATCGTGTTTTTCAGTTTTTTTAAACTATATTTATTTTTATATTTTATATCCTCTGGCAACCAAACCCGAACACCGCAGACGTTTCGTCGCCGGACTCTTGATATATAAATTTATTATTAGCCCATTTTCGAAAAATTATAATTATTTTAGCCTAATTATTAATTATAATAATTATATTATTATAATAAAATTATATTATTAATTATTATATTTATTATAATAAATTATTTATTTATAAACTGTTACAAATTATTTAAATTTAATTATTATAATATATATTGTTTTTGAAGATTAAAAGAGTTAGTATTAATTTCAAATAATCCCTAAAATATTGTATTGAATAATAAATAAAATATAATTTTACTTAACTTATTTAATTGTATTCATTAAAACCCATGCATTATACAGTTGTTACAGAATATAAATATTTTAATGATGTTACCATGCACAATATAAAAAAACCCAGCACAGTGGGGTCGTGGCATAGTTGGGTCCAGTATAGATGATATCTGACAGTGATTAAAATCACTATCATAAAAAACGCTTTGATGCAAATCTGTAGATAGTGTTTAATTTAAAAAAAAAAATTTGTCAAAAAAGTAGGTCAAATGAGAGATGAGAAAATAAATGATAGCTACAAAAAAAAAACCACATAGTAAAATAATATTAATATGAATTTCTTCTCATGAGAGGAGACTACAGTAATGGAATCCTTGTTATTTATTGAAGTTATTGAATCTAAATGAGATAAAATCAAATGAGTTAAACATTTTTTTTAACTCAAAAAGAATTAAAAAAAAATTCAGTGCCACAGTCGTGAAAGACCCAAGTGTCACCGTCTCAAAAACCATACGTCTCATTCGTCACTTAATAAAAATGGAAATTTAGGTAGTTCAAATTTTAAAGTTATTTTTCTCGACTTCAAAGGAACAAAAAAATTTAAGTATGATTAATTTTTTATACTATGTCATTTAGATTGATGTAATATTTATGAATATCAGTGTAATTCGTTTATGATAAAATAAAATACAAAACCAAGAATTTTAAATCAATAATAGCATATTTTTAAATACGGTAGCTATTTTCACCATGTACTCTCCTAATAAGATATTTTAAAATAAAATAAAATACAAAACCTAGAATTTTAATAGAAAAATATCATATTTTTGAATACGGTAGCCATTTGCGCATAGAAGATAGGTCGTTGGGACAAATTTTTTTTTTTCATTTTATAGTACATAAAATAAGCTTTAATTTGATAGATGTTTAAAGGACGCAGTATTTCCGGAACATTTTCAAAAATTAAGTTGAAAAAGTTAGTTTTTGTAAAAAAGTTGCTATTTTAAGTCCCCCCCAACGAGCAGATTAAGTGTTAGATTTTCAAAAAAATTATATCAAATAAAAGTGAAATATCTAAGGTTTTAGTATAAAAAAAAAATATGTTGATTTGTTGATTTTTCAAAAAGTTATGGAAGTTTTAATTAAAAAAATTGAAAGAATTTCGAAAATTAGTGATTTTTAAATTTGTAATTTTTTTGGAGGTTTCCCCCATTTAAGAGGAACGAGGGAATTTTTTTCAATTTTTAAGGATAATGTCTTAAACTAGATACGATTTGTGATCTTTTGACCTATTTTTGAAAGAAATCGGTCCAGTGAGAGCTGAGAAAAAGTGGCAACAGACATAACAAAAAAAAAAAAAAAATCACATCATGGTAAAATTAATACCTTCTCAGCTTTGCATCGAAGCTAAAATATATATAAACAGACTCATATTTGTTTAAATTGTTTCTTTAATGCAAGAAGTTCTAATTTTATTGAAAAAATTATTCTTAATAATAATATAATTTTTTTTTTTTTAGTTGGTTTATTAAGCAAACAATGATTGGTCGAATCGAGTGTTTTATATTAAATAATCAGAAATAAATGGCTTGTTGAAACTAGAATATGATAGAAATTTCACACTTAGAGCGTTGGAGTAACAAGTGTTACCATTATAGGTGTTATTGTTGAATTCAATTTATAAATATTTCAATTTTATCAATTCATCATTTCAACTAACTTTACTCATTTTATTAAATTTGTTATTTTAAATATTTTCACCTTATACGAATGCGAATATAGTACAATATTTTGTTTCACAATTAAACAACGTGTGAAAACGATTATAATTAAGTATGAATGCAGTATAAATTATGTATAATTAACTTTATGAAAACATAATATCAGACAATAATTTTATATATTATACATGATACATATTATGTACACTACAAACATCTAATCAGTGATAAATATCATAGGGCACGTCGGTGACTTTAATAGAGTCTATTTATAATTAATTATTATCGTAGATATATCAATTTTATTGATTCATAGAATTAGTTCTAAAAAAAAAAACGTCTGATCTAATACTAATTTTCAAACCTTGAACCAGGTTGTACTAGTTATGTTTATAAGTATATTATCTAATATCACCTCCTTATTTTGATGGAACAAAAAGTTGGCCTATTGCCTATATCCATGTTCTATCATACATATCCTACCCCACCCGAAAAATATTGTTTCCTTACCTAATAATAACCATAGGTGTAGTATTTTTTATAACTAATAGTTATAAAAAATGTATAAATTATACTTTTACTAAAGTGTAATTTTATTTTTAAGAGACGCTACCACAATAAATAGTTGAGGATTTTGCCAACCTTCCTGTCAATGATATAAAAATCTTCTATTGAGGAGTTCCAGTTCAAAATAAAAAAATCGTCATGCAATAGCAAATTTAATGTAAAATATAGATATATCCTTAAAGCAGTGAAACACACTAGTCTGCCCATAACATCTGAAATACTAATTTAGTGGTTGTATTTATCATAATTATATGAGTTTTTAAATTCAATCAAGTATTTAATCATGGGGAATTTTCAAAACTATTCTTTGGTATTTCCTTTTTGGTTTTAGTGAGAACCACTGCTTTAAAAGGATACTACTAGATCCTCACTTAGAATACAAGCGCTCATTAGAAAATAATAATAATTATTATTATAAGAAAAAATTGCACAAATCATAATTTTTAATAAGTAAAGTATAATTACCGTTTTTTGTGTTATATTACTGGATAATCCACTTAACAAATCAAGAAGAATCTCTTCGTGTGTTTAACACCGACTAAAGTATATTCTCGAGAAATCTATTGAAAATAAGACACTGGTCAAAGAAAACTAATTAAGTAAAATGATAAATGTGATGTTCACGATGTATCTACCGACTGATGCAATGTGCAACCACTTCAAATATTTTGTCTAAGCGACTGTGGGTAATATGTGAAGTGAGTTGTAACATGGCGGTTTAGTGGGGTACTGACAAACTCTTCTGTCATCAGAAAATGATATCAATAACATTTATTTTACGGATAATTATAACTGTAAATTTTACTTGGAAGTTGATAAAAATAAATTATCTTGGCTATTTGTATTTTTTTGATATAGATGACATTATCAGATATAATTAAGCAAACTATATATTTTTTTATTCTATAATTTCCCTTATTTACCAAAACATTTTTCGATCTTTTAGTGACGTACTATCAAGCCATAGTTACCATCAACTATAAAAAATCCAGTTAGAAAAATAACATTCTAATTACACGGTTTAATTAATTAATGGTGTTATCGTAATCTTATTATCAGTGTTTATTGTGATTTCCTTTATCAGGTTACTATTGTCCACCCTGGAGTAGTTGTTATAATAGTTAGTTGGGGTCTAATCGTCTCCGACGACGTGTTAACGTATTTGTTTTCTAATAAAATCATATTGAACGTTTTTTACAAGTTCCAAGACTCCCAATTTAGTTATTTTCCCGTTTTGATTAAGTAGTTCTATATAATTTTCTTCTAATAATTACTATATATAGTAACAATGGTGAACATTAACAGTTAAAAAATTAATTTTCTTAAACTTTTCAACTTAGCTAGTTAATCATTTTTCTAATAAACTTTTTAACTTAACTAATTTAATTTTCCAAAGATATAACTTAGCTTTTTTCAAGTTAATTAGTTAAAATAACAGTTAAGCTAAATTCAAAATTATAAAATATGCATATTTTTACACGCTGCGTACGGGGATAATTAAAAAAAAATTTAATTTTTCCCTATCTTACTTGTTAACTTAGCTTGTAAAATTTATAACTTGGTAACTTGTAACGTACACATTATTCGTCCTTCACCAACATTAGCATTTCAATACCACACTAGTGCCTGATCAACACAAACGTCCCTACGACCTACTACAGATATGCGGCACGCGAGGGTGTAAACAAAACCGATGATATTCTTCTTCATTAAATAAATATATAACGACAGTCAGTCGACATTTTACCACGCTCGCGGGTACTCATTTTTTATTACAGATTATACTTTATTTTACTACAACCTAATTCCAACAATATTACATTTTACTATTAATTTAATTATTAGATTTATTTTATTACAATCGGATTGTGTACGCTCGCCGCTGTCGCTCACCTAACTTGGATACCACAACATCTCTAGAGATCCAGTCAAGTTATATTTAAATATACTATTAAATAGAAGTAAATGTTTGTTATCGTTGTTAGTTAAGAGTCTATATTTATTGGTCACGAAACCGATAACCGCCCTTCTAGTGGGATATAAATTATATAAGGCCAGCGATGACCCGTTAAGGTACAGCTTAGCCAACTGTTAGGATCCTATCGGGAAAGCACGTTGCAAACTTTTAACAGTTAATTTGTTGACATTGTTCATAATTAACTTAACTTATGTTGAGTTAATTATTTCTATTAACCTCCTTGGTAATTAAAACGATTACTACAGTGTGATTGCTACTTACCTGCAGCATGTCCCATGGATTCTGCACTTTCCACCGTTAAATTGGTAAAACCTTCGTAGTAAATATCATGATCATTGTAATTTGAAGACTTTGATACTGTGATAAATATAATCAACAATTTTGAATAATTTTAAATAGAATGTTTAATTTTGTCTCGGTTACCTTCACTTCGAGGACCGGAAAAGTACTATGAGTGGCTATCGGTGTTTCTATATTGGGATATCCTTTTTAAGATTAGACTGAGTGATAAATATGACGCGAATACATAAGTATATATTTAACATTTAAGAAACGATAGGTGTATCATTCGGGAAATTATATTACATAATAGAATGAGGATAAAACGATTTTTTAGGGAAACACATAACACGTTCTGATTTTAAAAAATATTTTTTTTTAACAAAAGTACTCGGCCACATCATTCCGGAAAAATGTTTACGTTTTAACATTTGAGATGTGGAATTATTACCAGAGTCGTTTAAAAATATTTATGAGATATCATAAAAAAAAATTGCAATCCGTTCATTTTTTACAGTTCTATGAGGTTTTTTTTTAGATGCTCTAAAGTACAGGCACATGTATTTAAGAATGTATCTTACTATCAGTGCGCATGTTTCAGGTATAATTTTTTATATTCCTTGAATTGATTTGTTAAGTGAATTTAAATCATTTTAATTTTGAATATACTAAATTATTTTTTTCTATACATGCTTCAACATGAATTTTTTTAATATTTAATTGTTTGTAAATTCTATTTAGTTGATATATTTTTAATCTATTTAGGAGAGACATTTAAATGAAGGATAGATTTGAATTCATTAAAATTTAATAGTTTTATTTAATAAAATTAGTTATATTAATAAATTAAGTTCATGTAAATAAACATATTAAATGTTGGACACAATATTATCAATCTTTTGCAATTTATATGGACTTAATTTATCACTACAACTAGTTTTATTAACTCAATTTAAATATATCCAAAATTCAAATATGCCCCAGTCTTCCATATTTTGAGTTATTGTTTTGTTTTCAGAATATTATTCATTTAATACACGGAAAATAAGTATTGTTGAAATAACCGTTTATATAGTTATCCCAAACCAAAAGTAAGAGAAAAACGGTCTAAAGACTATTAAACGTCTAACGAGCGATGATTATGTAAACAATGGACGAAAGAGTATTTTGAAAAATTACTGAATGAGGAGTACTTAAGAAAGACATTAGAGGATATCTCACGGAATAGACTGTTAGATTTAATTAATGAGAGAGGTATGGTAGACTGTGGCATCAATAAAAAAGAATAAAGCAATAGGACCAGATGAAGTGTCAGTAGAGGTATAGAAAATATTAGACGATGTTGGCATAGGTGGTTGAGGCATCTTTTTAATAAAATCTTATTAGAAGGGAAAATGCCAAAAGAAAGAAGGAATAATATTGCGATGGCGAAATTTTAAGGCAAAGACAATCAAGAGTGTAGAAATTATAGAGGTTATGAGTCATAGTTGGAAGATTTTCGAAAAGGTAATAGATAACAAAAGGTAATAGAATTAGAAATGAAACATCGGTATTTAAGGACCAGTTTGGATTTAGTCAATGAATGGAGCCAATATTTTTTGTGAGACAACAACTGTGTATGGTATTTATAAATTTGGAGAGAGCGTATGATCGAGTACCGAGAAAGGTTTCAAAGTGGGCAATAATGAGAAAAAGAGTCCCGATAAGGTTAAATTATTAATATAATAGAGAATTTGTATGACGGAGGTAGAAGTTAAGAGGTACCGTGGAGCATGTTGTTTGCTGACGACATAGTGTTAATAGGAGAAAATAGATAGGATATCTCGTCGATACCATAAAAATGTTTAAAATTTAAATATTATTAAATTATTGTAAAATCTCAATACATTTTATTTTTTACTCTTTTTAAATTTTAAACATTTTAATAATTAAATGTTAACTATACTTTTATTGTAGTGATTCCGAAGTAATACTTTTCCTATAAAACACTTACCGTTCACGGAATAGCCGTCTACTCCTATTGGAATCGGTGACCTACTCGTAGTATAAGCCAAAGAATAGCCGATGGACCCGGTCTGGGGCGGAGCCTAGTATTTAATATAGAGGGAATATTACAAGTGGGATTAAGATGGATATATTAAAAAAAATAATATTTTATGAATAAAGCCTTATTTAGGCACGTATATTGCGTGAAACAATAAAAAGTTTCTTAAAATCACACAGCTGCAGAAATTCGGATTGATATTGCTAAAAGGTAATTGTTTCAACATTGTTACATTATTATTTAAACACTTTATTAAGTTACCACGGACGATTTAATCACAATAAGGACTTGCTGATTTAGATACTTTTAGGCGTAATGGTTTTTTTTTATAGTTAAAAGATCAATTACTAAATTTGTTTAAGTTTAACATAGAAATTAATACTACAATGGTTCATGTCGACCTTAAATCTTAATTCCATAACTCCATAGTAGTCCAACTTTCTGGACAGGGCTGTATTCTGGTGTACGGTGGCTAATTTTGGTACCCCTAATTTTTTCCAGAATGGCCTTTTAGATAATATTAAAAGCAAAAAAAAGACATCATTTTTTTTTCATTGCCATATGGTTTCATCGATTTTACTTATAATTATAATCTTCAAATTAAAACGTAGAACATAAAATGTCATATAAATTACAATTAAATATCAGAATAAAAAAATTATTTTTGATCGACCGTATGTCGACAATATTTGTAGGTTTTGCTTTTTAATTTTGAGATTTGTCCCTAAAATTTTTTTTTGTGAGGGGGACTATTGCTCCTCCAAAACATTCTTAAATACAGCCCTGTTTCTGGAGATACCATTATCACAATCATGGTTGTTTTTTAATCGATGTATGTATGATATGTGATATATCGTTGTTATTGCTCCTACAATAATAATAACAACAAGCTAGACACTTTACACATAACTGTCGTATTATCAAGTTTACATTTTTCATAGACAGATATAAATAAATAAATCATAGTAAAGTTACTACATTCTCAGCTTTTTATGAAAGTTAAAATCAAAAATGATTATCAAAATTAGCTATATTAAAAATGTAATTCTCTATAACTAGTTAAAATATTTAAATTTTCTTACATAACTTAAGTAAAAAATACTGCCACATCAGTTTTTTAAATCAAAAATATGTTTACTTTAAAAATTAATTTGATTTTTAAAAAATATATACCAAATAATATAAAATAAAAAAATTAATTTTAATAATAAATTAATATTAATTTTATATTTTAATATAAAATACCCAATGTATCTATAAAAAAAAATTTGTTTGATCCATACATTTTTGAAATAGTTATTACAGTTTTAAGTGAAAAAGTTAAAAATTGAACTTTACTGATTTTTAAAATTGTATTTTTATGGGGATTTTCCCCATTTACGAGAACAAGAGAATTTTTTTTCAATTTTTGAGGGTAATGTCTTCGACTAGATACAATTTTGTGATCTTTTGACATATTGTTCATCAAAATCGGTCCAGTAAGATCTGAGAATAAGTGGTAACAGACACAAAAAAAAAAACTCATCATAGTAAAATTAATACCTTCTCAGTTTCGCATCCAAGCTAAAAAATATATAGAAATATTTCTATTCCCCAATCAGCTCTATTTGTGCATTACAATTACAATTTTGCACTGTCTTAAACCTAATTCATTTTATATCAAATTTAGTTTAATATTTATTTTTATTTTTTATAGTTTTGATAATTACTCTGTCCGTCATATTCTTATGTAAGGAACATTCCCAAGAATCTTTTTTTTATTATATCTTTGTATATTAGGCTCTTTATCACTAATGTCCAAGAATTGTTAAGAATAAAAAATTATTTTAATTGCGAGGAAATATTTTTCTGAATACTTAATTCTGAATTACCGTAGTATTACAATAGAACTAATTTAAAAATGATAATAATAAAAACTATACAAAAAATAAAATAGTTAGGAAAATATTATTAATGATATGAATTAGCATCACAGTTTGAATCAATAACACTAATAACTTGTAGGAGCAATGTAGTGTAGTATTATAATTTATTATTGTACAAAATATCTTCCGGTAGAAAATCACCTGTATTACAAAAATAATAAAGTCTATGATCGTATCTATTTAAGTAAAAATATCTGAAATTATCTACTAAGTACGGTTTTAATTACTATATAATTATATTAGGTATTATATATGAATAACAAATAATTATAAACCAGGTAACTTAATATGTTTTAAAAAAGTAAAATAAACTCTTCTTAAAATTTGTAAACAACTTTTAAATGTCACAAATACAACACCATCATATAATACTTATGATTAATTAAAAACGTTTTTTTAATAACTAATGATAACAATTTATGAATTATATTATTCTTTAATAAACATCTTAACATTTTTTCTTAAGAATAATCAATGTGCAAGAACTACATGTATTTTATTCTATACGTAATAGCGTTTAAATAAACCCTTATGGGTAAGTAAAGAGCATTTTTCCTCAGGAAAAATGTCTAAGATATCTTTTGCCCACTTTCTTTCCAATTTTACATCTCCATATTTAACACATTCGAGTTTTAAAAATGCTTCAGCTTGCTCTTCAGTTTCAAAAGTGAAATAAAGAATACCTCTGAACTCTTTTGTCTTTAATTTTCTAGGGGTAACTTTGGTTATGTTAAAATCATTCAAAGATGCAGCATAATTCAGTAGCTCATCTAAAGTTGCTGTTTTAGGGAAACCTGTACAGTAAATAGATCGCTTAATCATTTCATTTAGATATTCGTCATCGGTAACAGGTACAACATTTTCAGGTTTACGTCTTATCTTGTCCTTATTTTCATTTACTTCTACAATACTGTTTGTAGCTTTCTGAATTGCATGAGCAATTACCATAGGATTCTTAGAAATAGAAGCTAATCGCTTAAAAGTTAATAAAACACTGATTTCAACCCAACCATCATCTGCTTTTAATTTATTTTGTAAGAATTTATCATATTTAATGTTTATGTCACTGAAATAGTACTCTATTTGCTTGAGAATTTTTGAATCGACTTCATCATTACCATTTTCAACACTGCGGGTGCCAGTTAACTCCATATTATCAACTAAAGTAAAAATTAATTAAAATAAAGTCAAAATTAGAACTACTTGGTATTTTATAATTTACACCATTTATTATTTAACTAAATAAATTATTTTTAATTAAATAATGTATACTTTAAGCTTAAAAATAGACATTTTCTTTACATTATTATGTTATAAAACGTTTAATTTTTTAATTTTTATTTAACGATAATGTGTTTAATTAAACGTTTTCATAATAATATTTTTAAGCTTTTTAATTTTATTTTGTTATAAAATTTTTTGTTATGAGAATGATTGGTATGTTTTTTATTAATTCTTTTTTAAAAATAACTTAATGTTTATTAAGAAATCCAATGGTTTTACTTAGCCAACCTATTTAAAATTCTTAATCTCTTCACTACTCTCAATACACAATATCAACCATTTAATAATTTCTCTTAAAAGTACATTCATTAAATATAACTGTAAAATATTATTATCCCTCTGTTCAACTTTATTACTTTTATAAACACCTAAGCGCTCCAAATTTGCACGTAACTAGTGTGACAAAAATATACAGCAACTTGTAAACATTTTTTTTTTAATGTATATAGTTCAAAAATAAGCTATCTTATGAAAAAAAAAAGTAAATAAATTCAATATAAAATAATAGATACAGTGAACTATTTTAAATTAAATTTTTATCAAATAAATTTTTTATGTTTTATTATTAAGAATCATATAGCATAATATAATACAATTTATCATGTAGCAGTGAGTGTACCCCAAAGTACTAACTCAAATGTTTCTCGTGGTAATAATGACCCCCTTCATAATACAATAGTATATGACACGACTTACGTCGCAATAATGTAGTCGACACTGATTTTAAGCGTAGAAACTCGAGGGCCGTTTATTAATGAGCTACAACAGGTTATTTATAAAAAGACGAACACAGTAATAATAATCTTCGCATAATATCGCGGCACTTTCGCTGGTGTCAAAAAGTTAGCACCGTTGATGGGGACGGTGCGCGGGTGCGGATCGGTTCATCGAGTCCGGTGGCGCGGCACGTCCTGAGTCAGTGGCGTACATCTTCGACGTAGTCACTTTGGCAACGGGAAGAAGACTCAACGTATCATTTGCGACGGGTCATCGTCGGCCGTGCGGCACTTGTTGGACTTTGCACCGTATGGCACGCGGTGATGGTCAATCAAATATTCATAGTGGGGCGACGGCTGATAAAGGTGGCACGAGTCGCGGGACATAGTGTATCACAAAGCGACGCGGGACCTTGTCGCATATTATGTCGTATTTATAAAATTCAATACCAAGATTATCCATAAACTTTGGCTTAACACTAAATGATATTATTTATCAATAACAGGAGATGATGATTAATTAATTACATGCATTATGTTTTGTACGAGGCAGCTAGACCGTAGGACGGCTAGTTGTGCGCCGCACTAGAATGCCGTTTTACCTTAAGCCTGTTTAAATCAATATTATTGTTACGGGATTGGGTCACCTAGGAAATGACGACTAACAGTACATCCCAATGAGTAACGAGAATAGACAATAATTAAATAACAAATAACCACATATATTAGAAATTCTTCAGAGTCTGATCTAATTTAAATTTCAAACCTTGAACCAGGTTGTACTAGTTATTTTTATAAGTGTATTATCCCATAATTTCAAATTTATTTCATAAATTACGTCCCTGATTCCATGTTCTATCATACATATCCTACCCCACCCGAAAAATATTGTTTCTTTACCGAATAATAACCATAGGTGTAGTATTTTTTATAACTAATAGTTATAAAAAATATATATAATATAATATAATTATATGATTTTTTAAATTTAATCAAGTATTTAATCACGGGGAATTTTCAAAACTATTCTTTGGTGTTTTTTTTTGGCTCTAGTGAGAATCGCTGTTTTGAAAGGATACTACTAGATCCTCACTTAGAATAAAAGCGCTCATAAGAAAAATAAATATAGTTTAAAATAACTAAAAAAAACACGCTTTTAAAGCACATCGAACTAAAAAGTTAAAAATAATTTTTAAAATAAGCTTAAAACAATAATGAACGAAAAATACTAGTATATTATTGTGATAAAAGCGTATTAATATACGAAACATATAGCACAAAGCACCCACGCTTTTGTCACAATAATACTTGTTTTTTTTGTCCATCTTCAGAGTGAAATGACTCTGCAATGAGTCCGAAACGTCAGAAACCAACTGAAAACATGGATATATCCTCAAGCACTTTGAGCAATGATTGTAGTTACTATCAATATCATGGTTGTAACGGGTAACGGGAAATCAGGGTTCGATTCTGGGGAGGAGTCTGAGAAACGGCTACCACATCCAAGGAAAGCAGCAGACGCGTAAATTACCCACTCCCGGAACATGGAGGTAGTGACAAAAAATGACGATACGGGAATCATCCTTTGTAATCGGAATGAATAAACTCTATATATCTTAATGAGAATAAAGCGTATTAATATATATTTTTAATATAAATTGATGACATGCACGCGTGTACGGGTACGATAACCAAAAATAAAATTGTACAGATTAGTTTTGCCGGCGTGTGTTAGGCAGGGTCGGGTGAAAGCGTTACGACAGTCTAGTCTCAATGTCATAGACGACGCGACACGTGCGCTTGGAGAGTTACACACAACCCACATACATGTGAAACTAATATAAGCGTGTTAAAATAATAATTATTATTATTAGAAAAAATTGCACAAACCATAATTTTTAATAAATAAAGTCTAATTACCGAATTTTGTGTTATATTACTGGATAATCCACTTAAGAAATCAAGAAGAATCTCTTCGTGTGTTTAACACCGACTAACGTATATTCTCGAGAAACCGATTGAAAATAAGACACTGGCCAAAGAAAACTAATTAAGTAAAATGATAAATGTGAAGTTCACGATGTAACGACCAACTGATACATTGGTCGGCTGTATGAATTCTAATTGTTATATTTCTAGGAAAACGTAATTAGCCGACCCTGAATTAATCATTTTTTTTTTCTTGGAGTTGTGTTTATGTTTATTATTTACTTTGCTCGCCTGGATTTCACTATCTTTATAGTTTATGTTATTTTGTAACTGTTTGTGCCTTTAAATTCAATGCACTGACTAAAGTCTCAATTTGTGCACCACCCCACTTGATTATATTATAATATATTATAAGCTATTTAAAATAAAAATCATCGAACATTCTTTAAGCATTATTTATTAATTTTATTTACTGTAATAATTCTGTCTGTACTGGTTCCCACTTTTTGTATCGATTGTATTGGTGTTTTTTTAATTAAAACACATAAAACAATAAATTATTCAAATATATCTTATTTTTTTTATAAAAAATAGCACATTTATTTATTTGTAGATATCTTATAAAAATAATTATTCATTTAACTTAATTAGCGAAAATCATAGTGTAATTTTCTTCTACATAACGTGTTTTAAAATTAATACTTAATACTTAAAAATTAATACTTAAAAGAGAACATAAGTTACACCGTATAAATGTTGTAAACATGTGATACTGTAATAATTGTTTACAAAAATTATAGCTAGTCCTTTTGTCATGATAAAAACTCGTTCCGATATTTATGTGAACTGACTATTAGTTGTTGACAAAATCATCAATTACAAGATAGCACATAATCGTGACTGTAAAATACCAAACGATATTTACTAGTTAACGATAAATTTATTTGAAAATCACAACTACCTTTACACGAGCGTTTTTAGGGTACTTGAATTTGTTTATATTTTTTACTTCTAATTGTTCGTCATTGGTGTTCATTGACTGGTTATTATCTATTCTTTGTGTAACTGTAGACTTTTCATTAACATATTTGTTGATAGTTTCATCTGTCAAGATGCACAAGCAAATATTATAATAATCATGTCTTTGATTAGCAAGTTCTAAAATTGAATTAAATAGTGGAGAAAAGTGTATAATTTACTTGCTGCATTGTGGTGATCATTAATTTTATCTTTTGAAGAATTTAATTGATTTGTAGTTGGCACAATTATTTCCTATATTTTAGTAGATAACACATAGTTACTATAATGTATGATAAGCAAACGACTGTTATTAGTTTTTTACTTTGTAACTGTCTTTGACAACATAATTTTTTTCTTCATTTTCGTTTAGCAAAGGTTGAGAAACGTTTATTTGTTCTTTGCACTTTTCTGGCGTTTTTTTCTGAATTTTTAAAGGCGGGAGCGATTCATGAAGCGTGTTTTTTATTTGAAAATTGTCAGCCTGTGGATCGTCTTCAGCAGGTTCAGCATGAACCAGAGTATGATTAGCCCCACAACTGACCTAAAATACACGAGAACTTATCAAGTTAACACATTTCTATAATTATATTTATAAAGGCATTATTTACCATTTGAACTTTTAATTGTCTGTTAACAAAATCAGTGACTAATACAGGTATCGAAGCTTTGTCAACCTCTACACAGAGTTTACCATATTTTCCATCACCACATGTAAATAATTTGCCGGAAGCTACAAAAGTTAATTTTATCTAAAATTTTTGAAAATACTGAATTTATTATAATTATCTTCACTATCAATGATTATAATGCGTTATTTTCAATAATACAAATCTCAAGCATAGTGAGTTTCCATTCATGGTTTTTATTTCAAAGAACAAGAAATTGTTGAATTCTTTATTTCATAAAAAAAAAATATGTTTTATCTTAATTTTTTTTAAAATTTTACTACAATGATATTTTTTTTAATTCTTAAAATAATTTGTAGTTACACAAGTAAGTAACACAAACCCGTTATGAAAGCCGAATGATTGTCTCCACATTTTATGCTGACTATTCTTTCGTTGGTTATTGAACAAGGGTAGAGATGTCCTTGAGACGTGACTCCTTTTAAACCTATCTGACCACAGTCATTGATACCACAAACAAACACTTTTCCTGAATCTATACAACAAAAATACATCATGTGAAACATATTTTATTTTAAATACTTAAAAAAATATTTGTTAGAATTATAACCATTTAAAGCGATTGTATGGTTTGCCCCACAAGACACTTGAATAATTCTTTCTGTAAAATCCACTTTATGAAGAGATAAAAAATCATGACCCAATTTACCATACTCTCGATTTCCACATGTATGTAAATCTCCAGTTTCTAAAAAACGTTAAAAAATATTTTTAATTTTAGACTTATTTAAAGAAGTATTTAAACTCAATCTACGAATAACAGAAAGGCAGTTAATCATTGAGATATTAAAGGTTCCCATTTTTATTGTTTTGGTATTTTTATATTAAAAATACGAAAATACAAATTTGAATAAAAGGCTAGAAAAGTTAATTATATTAAAACGTCTGTGGAGTATAGAAATTGTAGTTTGACATTCCCTCTAAAAACACAGTTTTTATTTAATAATAATATATTAATTATAAGTAACCATTAAAACAAAATTAAATGTCTGATGTACATATTCTTCTTTAAAATATTAAAGGAACTACCTCAGTTCATTATTAATATTAGTATTACTTGTGACGAATGCTGAATGGTTGGACCCACAAGATATGTATACAACTGGCTGGAAAATCGACACTATAGTTGGAGTCCGCACAGAAAATGATCCATTTGAACATTCGACACCCAATTGTTTTTCACTGTTTGATCCCCAAACATAAACATCTCCATTTTCTGTATCAATGTACAGAATTAAAAAAAATTGTATAACATATATTACACGCTTTCAACACAATAATACATTGAATATTTTGAGCTAGACAAATGCAGACCTATCAGAGCCGCAGTGTGATGTGATCCAGCCGCTAATTGAATGATATTATCGTCAAATTTTGTTATTTGAATGGGTATGCTACTACCATCAGTAGAAACTGGCTGTCCAAGTTGTCCATTACTGTTGTCACCAAATCCATAAATAACTCCGTTTTCTAGTTCAAATAAAAAAAATTGGTACCTCAAAATCAAAAAATATACTTCTTGCACTTTTTTTTAAACTATAGATGTTTTAAAATGCAGAAAATTCTTTTAAAAATTATTAACAGTAGCAAAATTTTGAAATTTTGAATTTTGTGGGATTTTTCAGATTTTAGTCTTTATAAGTTCAACTACTACATATATGGACAGACGTAAAAAAATAAACACGTGGTAAAATCAATACTTTCTCAGCTTCGCTTTGATGCCAAAAAGGGACGTATGTATTCAATTAAAATTTATAAATATGGATAATTGTTTGAATCAAAAACTGTTTTATTTTTAAAACATGAATTTATGTGTATTATTAATTTTTTTTAACACTTTATATATTCCTGCTTGGAATTGATTTACATTAAGGGGAGCTATAACCTGTGAAACCCCAAAATTGGCAAATATCTAAGGACTCTCATTAATTGCAGGCCGACACTGTATGTATAACTTGTATTTTTTATCATATCATTTAGATAACCTGTTATTAAAATGATATTGAAATCCTAAAAAAAATTTATAAACTTTAATAACTTGATTTAAATTCATATTTCTAATATATATGCTTAAGTAATTGAATTAAATTTTTCATAATACTTTCATTGTATCACTAAAATCGGTTTTCATATTGCATACCTGTTGAAACAATAGTATGTGACCGACCGCATGCTACATGCTTTATTTTTTCTGGCTTTAAACCTAAAATTAATTTAATAAACTTTTTTTAATTTCAAAAGTCAACAAATAACTTTCTAATCTTACTTTTCACACAATTGGGTTTATAAACGTTTTCTTTATGTCCTAATCCAAGCTGTCCAAAAGTATTTCTCCCAAAACAAAACACACGTCCATTTCCTAAAGAACAATTTTGAATAATAATACTATTTATGTATTGTAACATGTTAATAGAACATTAGGTTTTACTATTTTTTATGTTTATACAGGTATTTTATATTTATTTATGTATATAAAAGTGTCTTATGTACACGCCATGTGATTGATACGCTATATAATATTTTTAGGTGTATAAATCAAAATTCTGTCTGTTTTACTTAATATTATCAGTAATTTCAAAAAATAGACTGATCACTATTGTTTACAAGAAAATTGTTAAAAAAGGATTTTGAATTTTTTGTCAATAGAATTAAATTGTATTACATTTTTGTTGCCATTTACAATAAAAATCAAGAAATTAATTGATGCGTATTTTAACTGTTATCATATTTAATACAATAAATCAAACAAATATTATTTTGGTTTTTTTTTTTTATTACATATTTGAACTTTATACTACAATTTTTTTTATTAATCTTTATTGTACAGATTGTATATAAAACAAAAAAAATAAAATAATAGTAAAAATATTAGGATTATTTAATTTTTTTTTCTTCTTTATTAATATATACATATTTTGTTCCAAATAGATACAATATGAGTATTAGCTAAAATAAAAATGCGACATGAATACTTGACAAATAAAGCCACAAATTTAAGTGATTATTAGGATTATTTATTAAAAATAATATACTAGATTACTGTGTTTCATTTTTAATATCAGTCATTATTACATCAAGCTGATATTTAAGCTTTAAAATTATACAGAATGTTTTACTCCTAATTCAATATAAATATAAGAAATCAATGGATAGTAAACTTTGATGTATTAAGTTTTACACCTTGTAATTAGATTACTAAAACTTAGTGTTTTAAATAATGATATTAGCATTCATATAGTTTACTTTTTTATAAATTATACTTACGACAAACAATACCCGAATGTTCATCTCCACAACTTATCTCCACTACAGGATCGTTTCGGATAAAGAAGTGACTAGGAATATTATCGGCAAATTCACTTTTCCCATAAGTGAATACAGCGCCAGTTTCTAAAAAATTAATTAATTTTAACAATTTTTAATGTTTATTGTTGTGTTTAATAAAAACGACGAAGAAATAACTATTTATACATATATTTATGTAACAATATATTCATTTTTTTTTCCAAAGAAATGTTGCATTAGTAGAGCTATACTTTTCTTAACGACTCCAATGTAAAGTACCCGCCAAAATTTTTAGGCTGTTTGTCGGTAAAATCCAAGTCTAAAGCTAGTGCTGCCTATGTAACTGTTCTGATCCTAATTTCTCAATTAACATGATTTAAAAAAATCAAATTTCTAAGATACGCAGATTTCGAAGTATGTTATATTTTATGATTTGTAGTTATCATGGATATACAAACGCTTCACGCAGAAAATGTATTATACTCATACCTGGAATTAAATCTTCTTCGGTCATTTTGATTGTGGTGTATCGTATGACTGTCTAAATCTTGCTTACTAAATCTAAAGAATATTATACATTGGACTAGATAAACGATAGTGAATCGTTATAGATGCCAATACGACACACCAACTAGTGGTAATAGCCAGAGAAGTTTGGACAATACCGCACATAGTGTTTACGGTAGTTACACATGGTTGCCTAGCGAATGTCCGCTGAGGCCCAAAACATTTATTATCATTGGTAACTATAGATCGTCAGTACTTGACGTTCATTAAGCGAAAACTTACAAGTTTTATAAAAAAATACTATTTTTAATCATTATGGAATTTTAAGCTATAATAATAGGAGAGAAACTGTAACACCTCAAATAGTTACTGGTTATAAATCATACATACAATACCACAAATAAATTGTCACATTATTTAAAATTAAATTTTCATGTTTGAAAACTTGATTACTATATTTTCATAATCAAATATCAAATATTAATACTAAAAAATTACAGTAATAATTTTAAAGTTTTTCAATTATTGGGTTCTGATGAGGTTTGTTAAATCAATTGAACCAAGTGTGTATTTTATTTTAATTGTTATACAAAACGTATTTTTTGTTTCCATTACAAAATTTTAGGATTCAACTTATAAAAATAAATTTTTTGATAGTGTTATCATGTTAAAATATATTTAATCTATTTCAATAACTATACTACTCTTCATCATTATTTTAGTTCTTAACTTTATTTATGTCGATGTGATTAATCACAGCAAATAATTTTCAAAATAAATAAATTTTTTTATAATTTTAAGTATAGTGATTAAATAAAACATACATAAATAAATAATTATTGACTAGAAAAAAAGTTTGTACGAAACAATAATATTCTAAAATGTTAAAACTAGCATTCTATAAAAATGTTCAGATCAATATTCAGATTAGTAATTTAACTCAAATTTTGTGAAAATAAAAATATACTATTATTAGGTATATTAATTGTAATACATGAAGGTTTGCAAAAACAGTTAAATGTCTTGTCGTAATATACCCAATGCTTTGCATTACGCATCTTACATTTACCAATGAAAAATGTATAATCTGTATTTTTAATTACTTGTAAACAAACAAATAACTTATCTGTCATAACATGTACACTGTTCAACACAATTTCTTATTATTTATATAGATTTTAATTTATCAATTGTTAAATATGCTATCTTAATATAATAATCATGTAATGTATAATTAAATACAATACACTAAAAAGATCACTAAAAGCGCTGACAACAATATCCCTGGATTGGGGGTACTATCATTCACTATAAAAAGCACTGAAATCCTTTCAGATCAGAGTTCGCTTTCACCGAATTCAAATAAGAAACAATTATTAGTCACAACCCCGTGTTGTTGTCGGCTATCTTTTTTTGCGTTTTGATTGCATTTATTAAATTAATATCTTAAAGTGTTAATTTTGACTGGTTGGTTAAAATATTATACATAATCACGTTATATGGTATTCGTGGACTCGCTTTGCCGTCTCGTTGCTTCTTAGATATTAAAAACCAGACAAAACTCTATTATACTTCAATTAGAGGTACTGCGTTTATTATTTTTATGTCTACTTGTCTTTGTCGTTCTAAACCCTCTCGAATCACACGACCCGATAGAACCACAACATCAGGTTCTCACCATATACAGCCCAATCCCAAATTCTTTATTTTTATTTTATTAATTTTGGTTATTTAATTTATAACTGGCTTTTTTTTTAATTAAAACTATCTATTTTTGAAATAAATAAATAACGGGACTTTATTTAATAAATAACATTATTATCTATAGTAAAAGTATATAACATAATTATTATAACTGTTTATGATTTGTTAGTCTTACGTTTTTACAAATAAGTGACTAGATATTACACTCATTTTTCAATAGATGCAAATAACGTTACAATATTATATTAGTCACAGTAAAAAATAATCTTATTAATGCCAGCGACAATAATATGTTGCTAATATTTACAGATAAATATGATGATATAAAAAGAGAAAAATGTTAAACAATACGGTTATAAATGAACAATTATATTGACACATTATCATTAAAAAATAATAATCAGAATCTTTATTGATTGGTCTTTATTTTAATTTTCGGTCATGACCATGTTCATCAAACGCTTGAAACTTCCGCTTTGGTGGATTTCGTCAGTAGAAACATAATCATGCTGCAAACGTTAAAAAAAACTTTATTATTATATTTAAATAAAAATTTTAAAAATATATGGAAACTTACGTTTGGATGTGGTGCAGTAGGGTGAGGTTGTGGAGAAGAGCGCTGAAATAAAAATATATAAATAATATAGTACAATACACACTTAATAACTAAGAGTGTTGATTATTTTTATTATAAATTTAATTTGTAACAAATGGTAATGGTAAGTACAATCTATTACGTTATGAGTTCAAATTTAACTTACTCCTGGATTTGGATGATGTGGCGCAGACAATCGCTGAAATAAAAAACCGAAACACACGAATGAAAAAAACTATTATCATACGAAAATTGCAAACATACGTTTTGTTACATCTTATAAACGCGATTTGAATTACTCACGTTATGACTGTAGTTGCTGTTAACAGTTGCTTTCTGTAAAATGTTCATTATGTATACCTTTTTTATTTTCATTCTTAGAACAATAGTATTTTACATACCTTGACAGATCCCTGGACAGGAGAGTATGCTTTCTGAATAGGAATAATGACTTCACGGTGATCGTGACTGCCATGTTCCGTTTCTTGAATTGCCCTGTATGTTTCGGACTTGGCCGGGTCGAACTGCACTGTCTTCTTGTACCTAAAGGTCCGGGTCAGAAAAGGGGAAAGTTCAGAAAGGGAAGGTGTTAGTAAAGAGATGTATGATAAAGAATATAATTAAGTTTAATTAGAAAGAAAAAAGAAAAACTGAAGAAGTGTTAGATTTGCTTTTTTTTATATTACAGTATGGTTAGTAAGTTTTTGTACATAGGATTGGTGCTGGATTAATAACGGAAATTACTGGGAATGGTTTGGATGTTTCAGTTTGGTTTTGTGTTCCAGGAAGGAAAGGTCAAAGAAAATACTAAGATTAGATATGCAGTACGAGTTCTTTGGTAATAAATTAAGCAAGAATAATATGTCGATGTCTAAATGTGTATTGTTATTGAGTGACGTGTACGACCTATTTACTTTTGTATTCAATTGTGATTAATGCATTTTTAATTTAATGAAATATTTCTAAGTTAAAAATATTTAAAAAAAGATCATGAATCATGCCGCCAGTGCTCTTACTCAAAATAAAAATGCATTTAATATGTTTTCTTACTATTTGTTGCGCATGCTCATGCTAATAATTTACCTAAAGCGACCATATTTATCTTCTTCGTCTTTCCTAAACATATATGACATTATAACAAAATGATTGCGTTGTGTCTATATATATGTATGTGTGTGTGTAATATATGTTGATAATATCTAATGAATATCTACAGTTCACTATTTAATTTTTTTCTATTACTGCAATCCTCGTATCATGTAAAAAAAACTACTTAACCGTCAAATAGTTAGTAGGCGTCCGACGTTCATTTAGGTCAAACAATATAAAAATAGAGGTACTGAGAGCATAGAGAGCGTGATTCATTGGGTCAGATCTCTCTACAGTCTCAGAGTATTTATAGACTAGCAATCCCTCCGTAATGTGTAAACATAACCCTTGAATACATTATTTTTTCGAAATTAACGATCTTGTTTTTTTGATTGTCTAAGGTTACTGTAAATCAAGGTCAAAGTTTTTTAGTGACTAGGTCGTACCAGCCTAACAAATAAACTGTGTGTAAAGTTGTATTGACAAATGTGAAAAAATCATTTATATCTAACTCAACTGTGACTATTTTTTATTTATTAAAACTTTTTTAAGATATAATGATATTTGACTTACGGAGTGTATCCGGTTTGCGTTTTGATTGAGTTGGCGATATTTTCATCAGAGTATAAACCAATTGGAGTGTTGAATTGCGAGTGTACAAACTGTAATTAATAAAAGAAACAATTATAATACAAACGGCTAGTTAAATAAATTATAAAAACATTCGTTTTTTATTTAAAATGAAATACAGAAAACACATTTGCATCAAAAAAAGTATTAAGCTGACATTTTTATTTTCACAGGAGCATTAACTATCCTGGCGTATAATTAAAAAAATTAATCAATTAATTAAGAAACTAATAAATTTCCAAAGAGGATATGAATTTCTATCAACTTAACATTGTGTTGAAGTTTCTTGGCATCATGTTTTATTATCAGTAATTTGATCTTCCTTAAAATAAGCGCGACTTTTTATTTATTATTACCAATAATAGTTCACATGGTTAACGTAAACATCCACAATATGCACAAAAAATTGTTATAATCAAATATTTCAAGTATAAAATAGTTAAAAAAATTGTTTGAAATTTTCAAAAAAAAAAAACTAATGAATAATTCTGCACTTTTTGTATGAAAGTATCTGATGAATATTTAGTAATTAATAAATTGGAATAATTTTTTTTGACCGAATATTTGCGATATTTTGTCAATTTTCAAAGCATAATTACAGTTATAGTTAATTTTCTGATGACTTAATAAAAAGGACGTCACAAAAAAATACAAATCAATTTATCGTAAATGAGTTTTAACCTGTCTACCAGGTCTTGACTTGGATTCCTCATTGTTTATCCGATGCAACACATTATCCGTAGCCTGACAAATAAAATCTTGTTATTGACACATAATTTTTCTAGACGCGCTAAATGTTTTATTACTTAAATATCAACTATACCTTTTGTTTTCTCAGCGTATCCATTGGTTGTTCGTGCCACGACGGATGTCCTCTCATCATAGGGTTTGGGTGATGACGCAAATACGATTCAGCCTTTGGCTGATCTCTTTTGGCCTTGGCCCCCGGCAACACTAATGGATTTGTCCTGTACGGCTGTAAAAAAACAACAGATTATTCTAACTATATTGAGTAGATAATAATATTCTACGTGTTCGTTGTGTTGAATATTTCTACACCAGTCTATTGTACCAAACAAAACACTTATAAAATTTTGTAAATAATACCTCTTAATGAAACATTTTTATCCTATTTCACCATTTAACTTACCCATAACAACGCGTTTTCAGGCTCATATACATTAGGTTCTGGTTCAGTGTGTGATAGCATCATCTTGATAGGTTTTTGTGTGTTGAACGATTTAACGCGATAAAAAATCTCTCACTTGAGACGGTTGCCGGGTAGCTTTCGGTTTCTACAGTTGCCCTATGACTGCGAGCTTTTGCCCAGTCGGCGCGCGTTGTTAAAACGGTTTGTGCACAAGGATTCGCCCACGCTCTTTGGCAGACTCCGGGATACACTTATACGTGAGGGTCTTCTAAATTTAACAATACAACCCAAACATTTTTCCATGGACCAATAGCACTACGTATACACTATATGTTTTGCGAACTTTGTTTAATATGATACCACTCTTATTTTTGCAATATTTCTGTTGTTTTTACTTATTGTCATTATATAATCAAACGGCGGTGGGCGTTAATGAAAAAAAATGTGTTATTACAATTTTATCTAAACAAAATTATTTTCTAATAATAAAATAACCCTTGACACGTATTTTCACGATTGGTAGAAATATAAATCAAAACCAATGTTTTTTTGTTGTTAAAATTTGAATAAACATTATTAATTGACAATAACATAGTTGTCTTAATATAACCTAGTATCAAAATTTAAAAGGCCAATAAACGATTATGTCATTATACAGAACGTATGAATAAAATTTAAAAGTTCCAACATCAATATTTATTTAACAATTATTTATATTATTATACTTAATTTTAATACATCTTTTGATTGGGAACATCAGAACACTAAGTTGCCAGTTGCATTTTTTATCACTTTCTATTTCACAAACACTTTCATATATATATATATATATATATATATATGGCAAAATTTGAAGAAAAATAATAGTGTTACTAACGATAAATATTTATAAAAATTGAATTCGCTAATTAGCTAGTTTAAATAATTTAATGCATTAATATTTAGCAAGCATTTTGCAAAAACATATTAAAATAGTATAAACATTTTAGAAATATTATGACACATTAACCATTTTTATTTTACATATTTCTGATTTTATTATTAATATATATTTTATAGTTTTATCTTAAGATTATTTTTAAATAATTAAATGATATTTAAAAAGTGACAGATCTCTAAAAGCCGATTGAGTATTTTTTCGTTATGTAATCGTTTATATACTTAGGTAGGGTTCCTGGAAAAGCATAACAACATTATATATCGACATTTATTCATTAAAATACTTGGCTAAAGAACTCTTCAAATCATTTTGATAACCGAAAAATAGTTTTTTTTTATTACAAATAAATAATTAAGGTCATATAAATTTTTGTTAAGCCTCAAGATATTCAACATTGGCACTGTTCATAGAATTGGAAAGCCTGACCTTCAAATAACTTTTTGTAATGAAATTATTTTTAATGTTTGTATTTTTATTTTTTATTTTTGAGTATAAGTATGTGTTATTAAGCTATGTCAGAAAATTACATTTTAATTTTAAAAATCTAATAGGAAGCACAATACTATTATTACAGACATTTTTTTCTGATATAAAGTAGACGTAAACTAGAAAATATTTTTTATTAATTTAATTGTATACATACAAATATTATCAGGGTTTATCGGGCGGAGTATATTTTATTAAGTGAAATTACACTAATCACAAATGACCAAAAGTGTACAAGTCAATGTCATTATTAATTTCACAGTCTTAATTTTTATCACGTTGAAAGAAATCAACCGAAAATTAACAGCAAAAGTTTAGTCTTGTACCAGTGTTTTATAAATATCACAAGAGCGTGCTTTTGGTTAACATCCAATATTGTGAAATAATATATATTTCGCGATTATTTTTGAGTTTTAAAGTTCTTCCGCGCCTAAAATATTACACATTGTGATATTTCATTGAATTATTTAGCCCAAGGCTTATAATTAGTGATGAAATATACAAAACTGCTGGATCACTAAGATACTTATTTTCATAACTAATGCAACACTTTTCAAGAATATCAGACAAAAAAGAAATATCACAAAAATAAAGTTTAGTGTTTTTATCTTCACTAAATTGTGTCCGTAAAACATTTTTACGGATCTGCATTTTTATGTCATAAAAAAAATATCTATTGAAAATTAAGGTAAGTGCTTCTGATATATTCTGATATATAAAACTATTTTTCACATTAGTTTCATTATTTTTTAAATTTACAATTATTATTTTTCATAGTTTAATTGTTACGAATTTAAATATAAAGATAATTTCATTCGTTAAAATTAACTTTTTATATTTTTATTAAAAAGTTTTAATTTCATTTTTTAATACATTGGCCAATTTTAAGCAAACATAAATAATATCATATGAGCTGTTATATAAAAAATATTTATCGATTTCGTTATAGTTTAAAATTAACACAATGGTCTTATTGGTCATTCAATTTGATTGATTAAATTTACAAAATTATAAAGTTATTTATAAATAATACGATTTGAATAAAAATCATTTTATAAAAATGGATGAAATATTAGTTAAAATAAGATATTGAATTTGGAAACAATTCAATTCAAAATACATTTTTTTAACTATTTTAGTATGAAGAAAGGTACAAGTCCATTATTAACAATTATTTTATTTTATTTACTTTATTTTTATTTTATTTTATAAACAATATATTTTAAAATAACATTTACTTTTATGTATATAACAAAAACCTTCTTTTTCCTTACATTTTTTTTCTCGATATTTGGGGTTGGTAATAATATATAATATATTGCAATTGACTTAATAACAATTAAAATAATTAATAACAATAAAATGATTCTTTCAATTTTTATTGACATCAATAGTATTTTTTTATAATTTCAATGAAACACTGTGGACCAGCATAGAAGCAATTAGAAAGAGTCTAACTGAAAAGGTCTAGTTTTCCTCATGTTTAGACCTAATTGTTTGATCATACATGTACTTAACCAATAATTATATGAAGAAAAAAAAAACAAAACATTAAGAAAAACTTTAAAGTTGTATAATCACTTCAATTTGGATCATACCTTATAAATGAGACTTACATTAGTTTCTAATGTAATTTACCAATATCTCTAAAGTATCACTACACAATTAAAATGAAAAAAAGTTATAAGGTTCATAACATAATTTTATGTAAGAAATCATTACAAACTTGTTTTCAGTATTTTTTACAATAACTTCTCTTCCGGTTAATTTGTCAATTTTGTATATAAGAATATACTATTCTAATAATAGACTTCTACCTTTACTCATCACTAAAATTTATTTACAAATTACCAACGTAATTTCGATTTATGTATGTTCATTATTTTATTTTTACAGGAGCGTGACAGATGTTAACTTAAGTAAACAAACATATTTAGTATGTTAATGTTTAGTCGACATTCATTTTTAAAAATTGCCAAGAGTATTTATGCAAAAAGTTGAAGTTTATTTTTAAATCAGCATACCTTCAGGGGCTAAATACATTATTTGGCTAATATTATATTTTTGCTAAATTTTATTTACAACATAAATGAAAATACTATGAAATATGGTACACAAATCACAGACTTAATTTAAAAAATTTATACCACATAAAAGATAAGTAATAGAAATTTGTAATTGTTTTAAACTACTTCGGGTGTTTAGAACTTCGAAATATCCATCTACAAGGTGATTCTTTTAACGCTAACCATTCGATTTCTCTTAAAATAATAATTTTTTTTTTGGATTTTGTAAGCTTTACATTTATACCCGTGAATATGTTATAAAATAATTTTGAGATCCATCTCTTATAATTTATAGGGGTGTCAACTTTATTATTTTAATGGCAACATACATATTAAACTAGCTTATCAAACAAAAAATTACATAAAGAAGAAAATAACTGGCCAATAACAACTTTTGGACAACTACCTTGGAAGTATTTAGCATGAAAATATAGACTGGAGGTGCAGCGCGCATGTTGTTATTTTTATCACTAGTCATTTCCCAGCCGTACTCTTCATGTTGTCTAGATATAAAAATGAGAATAACTTCCGAAGTACCAAAAGTTGTTTTTGACCAGTCATTTTCATAATTAAACTATTTTCTATTTTACAACATAGTTAAATATATATGTTGCTATTTAAAAAAATTAAGTTGACACCCATATAATATATAAGAGATAAACATACAAAATATTTTATAAAAGATAAATGAATATTTATGTATGAAACTAATAAAATCCAAAAAAATGTTTTCCAAAAATGTAATATTTTTTAAAGAAAATGAGTAGCTAGCGTTAAAAGAAACACCTTGTAGATGTAAAGCAAAAAAATAATATAATTTTTTTATTATGATAAATTAAAAAAAAGTTTAACAATAACTTGCGTTAACACTACTAGTACGTAGAACAATAGGTGAAACTTAAGGAATCAGAATCATAATCAAATACAAAAAATAAACAATTTATTTATACATTAATAAAGTAAATATTAAATACTACGTCACCAAATTTCCGTAAAACTATTTTTTATGCCAATTTTCTACTAGACGTTCATATATGCAATAGGAATACTTTATTTTAGAAAACCATTAACTGCATAATACAATTGGACGATCGACAAAAAAAAGAATTTTGATAAATGGAAAACCGATACAATATTTAATTTTGTGATACATGTCATTCAGAGTTTATTTTTGAACAACATCCTTAGTTTTTCTAAAATTAAAGGGAATTTATATTTTACCTTGGACCTTGTTGCTAAAAATAGTTTACACGTCAACTTAAAAATAAACTTATAAACACCATTTTTAATGTTTATTCACCTTCATAACAATAAAAGTCTCAGTTCCAGTTTATGAAAAGGTGGTGTCATAAGACGCGTATATGATTGACAGGTGATAATACAGATTGAAATATATCATTGTTTTTTAATTGAAATTTCAAATCTTAATTTTTAGTATTAATATATAAAAGGAGATAAAACAAGATTTTTTGTTGCCATTTTTATTTAAGTAATAAAAATAAACAAGTATTTTAGGCGTCCTCGGCGCCTTTTTAATGCCGCAAAATATAGTCAATAGTAAATTATTTTGAACTAAAAAAATTCCCGGTATTTACACAGATATTAAGTTTATTTTTCTAATTAAAACTACCAACTTACTTGTTCCTCAATAGTAGGGTCATTGGATTCTTCATTACCACTGTAATCGATTAATGCTGGCGGAAAACGACAAAAATTGTTAACTTGTGATTGTGCAGTTCGTTCATAACCATAATTTCCATTTATTGGTGTGCATATTGGCGACGGAGTAAAACGTTTTATTTCTGGTATCAAAGGGTTGGGGCTAGGTACAAAATTTGGAGCTTCCCTACAAAAGAAAATTCAATTAATTCAAAAACTAGTATTTAGAGTAGAGTTTAATTTATACTTTGTTAATTTTTTACTAACACAGCAATTCCAAAAAAATATAATTACTTTTTACTTAAAACATTGTGAAAATATTATTTATTACTAAAATATGATTTTTTTTTTACAGTTCTATGTAGTTTAAAGTTCCACTTCAAAATTCATTAATTTTCAATTTATTTTATAATAACTGTAGATTATATTATAATAATTACTTAAAAATTTATTTTAATTATGAACATTAAAAACTTTTCAATTAAAATATAACATAATCATGTATAAACTAGACGTAATAAACAGTATTATTATTGTTAAGCAAACATAAAACCAAAACATTGTCCAGATAATTTTAATTAAAAAATACTACATTAAATAGATAACAGATTCTTTAAATATAAATGTAAAAACTTTGACATAACAAATTGTAAATAATTTATCAAATATTTATTTAAATGATAAGTTTTAACCTTTGGATGACAAGGGTAATTTTTTCTGCATTGCCAAATAAGTTTTGGGCATCTATATGTCTTAAATCTCTTGCATCATAGTCTTCAACTTTTTTAATAATGTCTCCAACTCTAAGCTTTTGGTCACATACTGTTCCAGCGTACACCTGAAACAATAAAGACATTAAACTTTAAATTATAGACAATAGATATTTTTAGGGTAAATAGTTGTGTGTTCTCGATATATGTTATCACTAGGTTAGAAATGTTGTTTTCAACAAAATTGTACAGAATAAAGCGAAATAACATTTATTGTACTATAAACTTCAAAATTATTTATTAATATTGTTTAAATAAAACTGATATTTGATTCATATAATCTAAAGTTTTTTTTTAATCATTTTTAAAGAAATACTAATGTGTTAGTCTGAAATATTATTTCCATGAAAATTAATTACATTAACAATCCCATTATATTAATATTTAATAAATTATGATAAATATAAATGATTTAAATTTTGGGTACTTATCAAATTTTAGCTTAGAAGATATTAGTATTACTATGTGTATTTTTTTTGTGTTTGTTGCCACTTTTTCTCAGCTCTCACCGAACCGATTTCTTTCAACGATACGTCAAAAGATCACAAATCGTATCTAGTCAAAGACATTACCCTAAAAAATTGAAAAAATTTCCCTCGTTCTCCCTAAACAGGTGAAATCTCTAAAAAAATTAACAAATTTAAAAATCGCTAATTTTTGACATTTTTTCAATTTTTTTTACTTAAAACTGCCATAATATTTTTAAAAATAACCAAATCAATATAATTTTTTTTCTTTATAGATGCATGATGTCTTTACCTTTTATTTGGTATATTTTTTTTTATAAACTGACCCTTTACCTGCCCACAGGGGGAGATTTAAAATAACAACTTTTTCAACTTAACTTTTGAAAGTGTTCCGGAAAATCTGACACTTTTATATATATCTTAAATTAAAGCTAATGTACTATACTTTATAAAATTTCGGAGTTTATTTTGTCTTCATGGTGAAAATGGCTACCGAATGCTATAACTTATTGAAAAGTGTACGGATTAACACATTTTTTTTATGAGAAATAATATTTATATCCCTTTTTCATTCGACTTACTTTATCTTAATCGGGATATTAATAAGGAAATAGCAGATCATGTAGCTTTTGGAATAATCCACCAATTTTAAAATAATCCACCATTTTAAAATTAAACACTATCTAAAGATATGCATGAAGGCGTTTTTTTTTATAGTGATTTTAATCACTGTCAGATATCATTATACTTGACCCAGTATGCCACGTCACCATTTTGTTGCGACTCCCTGTGCGTGGTTTTTTATATTGGAGTCTTTTTGTAAAAATATTTTCTATACCTAACTTTTTAAAAGCTAATGATTCTATATTCCTACAAATCTGACATTTTTGGTTTTGTATTATATACAGTGTTCAGTAAGTAAGGAAACAGGTAAATTGTTACAAATAATGAAAACAATAGAAATTCCTTTCCTTACTTACTGAACCCCCTATATAATCTTGCAGTAGTATAGTCAGAATTTTTGCTTGGGAAACTAAAGATATTTTTTTTTTGTTTGACATATAGTCTCATTAACGCTAAAGCTATACATTATTAATAGTAATAATTGTCCAATGGGGAGCTATAGTACCTTTAGCCTCCCCTTAGCTATACCACTAGATAAGTTATAGTAGGGTAATATTTTTAAAGGATAGAGTTAAATAATATATATATATAACAATTAAGTTTCAATAATAGTTGAGAATATCATACGATTATAAGAAACTAGCTTGGTGTTTTAAATCTTTCATTGTTGCACTACATTCTAAGGCATTTAAAATTTAGTGGGTAAAATTTGTTAAAGGTATGTGCCCTTGAACGAAATGTAATCTTGTGGATGTTTCTTAGTACATAACAATTGTTATAACGTGCCTTAATAAATAAGAAAAAAAAATGTTTTCAATGAAAAACATTATAAGTAAAATAGTTTTTCTCTGAAATAATTAAAAATGTTTTTCATTTGTATTATTCAATATAAAATGTAGATAAACTAAATTTATCATAATACTAAGCATGGAAAAATGTTTGGGCTACCAATACCGTGAAATGTTTGCATTAATTGGCCTAACTTGATAAATAATAAAACCACAAAAAATTCATCATTAAATAGCAAAAAGAAGTCTATATTATAAAGTTTATTCATAAAACTTTAACATAACAATTAGTACTTAAATAAATTAGATACAATATGAAACAAAATAAATTATTAAAACAGTTGGACTCATGTCATATAGTTAACATTATGTACTATGATATTTTTAATTGTTTAGTTTTTGGCAGTAGTACGTTTTAAAATGATATATCTTCAAGAAATATTGACATTTAAATTATTAAACATTTTGTAACATATATACAGATCTTTGACGGCCCTATTGAAAAGAAGTTTCTTTAAAAGAAAGCATTTGTATCAAATTTTAATATTATTATTTTTTAAATATTAAAATAAAAAGATTGATTAATTTAGTTTAATAAATATATTAACTGAATCGTTAAATATTTATCAATTTAAAGTTAATTATTATTATGAGTAGATTATATTTTAAAGATAGCCCAAACAATATGTTACTTCATTTTCTTATATTTTGGGTTTACAATATTAACTTAAAAAAAAAAAAATTGCTATAAGTGGTACTTATTCGTCACAAAAGGCAACTATATATTATTTGTTTATTTTCAAATTTTTTTTAAATTGTTTTTTTAGTTTTACGAGTTAATTTTTTTTAAACTCATAATTTTTATCAAATTCGAGTGTTATACTTGAATTTCAACTTTTTATTTAATATGTAAACAATTCAAATCCAACAAAAAAATGCTCTTATAATTATTATTATTACCTTTGTGATGACTAATGGTGTATTGAGATCAGCACCTCCTGCTAAACGGATTCCCCATGGCTGGGTTGTGCTGTTTCTGGACAACGACACTGTCCATGTACTTGGTTTTTTAGAACTCATTGTTCTACGCGTGCGGCTAATGGCTTACACGTCACCAAGACGTTAAAACATAAATTTAACCGATGACAAAAGCGCGACAAAACACTAGAAATTTAGTACTGTTTTTAAATTTAAAAGAAAATGTTACAAGACAATAACAATTTTAACGATTAGTGTGCGTGGATTAGTGATAGACCGCGACAGGTTGCAAATAGCAGCTGTGCCACTGTATATTATACACAAAGCTCACAGTCACCAGATGCTAGGAGGACACTTGTCGAACGATAACCGACGAGTTCAGTATTTTATATACCTATATGAAATATAGGTTTGTGTGTATACAACAGAGAAGAAAGTCTATGAAAAAAAGTTCATCAAAACAAATACACCGTCGGAGCTCGCACTAAACAATTTACTGTAATATACAACGTATGGCTGATGTGAGCTTGCAAACTATTAGGTCGTACAACATGTATATTAGGTGGGATCTGAGCCAAAACAGTGCGCATCTACTGTGTAATTAAAAAGAATACAATCGAACTACAACGATCATGTAAACTAATATTAATTACAAAAATCATACTGTTATTGGTATTATATACTTTTATCGTTAATTATAAAATTATTGTGCAAATATAAATTTTAGACTTTTTAATCGCAATGAAAAGAGAAAAGAGTCTCCCAAATTTTTGGCGATCACCATAGCAGATTTTTTATTTGGCTGATCCATTTTGGATTTTCGCCATAAAATCTGCATTATTTCATAATTAATAGTTACGCTCCATAAAATTCATAGCTAAATGCCTAATGCTGACTGCTTTACCGATTTATCCATGTCTTCAGTTTTATGCTGAAGTTTCGAACTCGTTGCCAAGTTCATTTTTGGAATGATAGTTTTAGGTAGATCTATCAATATAAATTGACATAATATAGATTGTTGGTGAGTCAGTAATTTCGGTTGGGTGACTCATCCCCCACGGATGAAATTTATTTCGAAATCGTATTTTAAATATTTCTGTAATAGATGTATAATAGAAACGTTTAAAAATATTTTAGAAATTTAAAAAATTTAAGGCACCCTAAATTAATTTTTATGTGCAGTCAGATCGTAATCAAAGAAAATTAAAAAAAATAATATAATAATTGATGTAACTAAGATTAATAGAATTTATTCCTTATATACATCTAATATGTGTAGCTTTAATTTTATTACTTATCAAGTATTGCCAAGGAAATCTAATTATTGGTTTTATATTTGTAGTTATTTTTTAAATAATATTACTCACAAGTGAACGATAATTTTACTATGCAATATATATTTTTAGGATTTATTTATTTTGTATTATACAAATTTTTTAAATTATTAGCACATTTTAAAGAGTTGCAATATAAGAAAACTTGTAGTATCCATTTGAATCTGTTGTATATCTCTGTGATAGATGAAGTTGTTTAAGATGTACAGTTCCAAAATTAAAGTCACCAAATATCTGTAAAAGTTACAAACTATTAAAATAATATTATCGATTACATTAATAATAATTGTTGTATCATTTTAGATATTTATAATATATCATAATAATAAATTTAAAAAATGAATGATTGAAAATCGGAAGTTTTTCTAATAGCTTTGTTGTATATACATTTTGTAATATCAAAAAAATAACTGATCTAAGTACAAAGGGGATTATAAATTTTTATGAATATTGTAAACCAATAAGTATGATTATAAGTTATATAGTGTATAATATTACCAATATGATCTTATATTATTGTAATAAAAAAAGGTGTGAAATATAATATAAGCTAAAATATAAATTGAGATAAATACTCTTCAAATAACTAATAAAAAGATAGTAGTTGTTCTTTAATATTGTGCATTTTCGAACATTTTAAATGTTCTCTTAAAGAGAAGTTGAAGTAGAATTGAAACTTTTTTACTTTAAATTAAAAATATATTTTAGTGGGTATTATTAAACTTGATAGTATTTGGTGAAATTTACTTGAACAATTTGTGTTGCATCAAAAGTAGACCTTGTTTTATTTTTGTAATTGTTTTTTGAGGTATTTTCATCAAAATTGGTCTTCATTAAGGTAACATGAAGTTTTACATTATCATTCCTGGGTTTTTGAGCTAAATCTAATGAAAAAAATATTGTATATAGAGTAAACAAACTTGTTATCATAAAAAAAAATGTACCAGATTTTGAAAAGAATGATTGTATTTCATTAGCTAAAGATTGTAACTCAGGATTATGAACTTTTGCATACAAGATGTTGACATCAGATGGATCATCATTCATGTAATCAAGTCCTTGAATTGAAATATCTAAAGTGTTTAGGTTCTTGGGTCTAAAATTAAAAACAAAGTTATAATATCAAATATTAAAACTGTTCTTTCTAAAATTTACATTTATAATTCTTATTTCAAAAATTTTAGTTATTTTAGAACAACTTAAATTAATACAAATAAGACGGAATTAGATTTTTTTGAGATAGGCTAATAAACCGATTAATTATAGTAGAATGCATGCTGATTATGCTTAGCTACAATTTTAATTATTTTTACATAATTTCTTTTCTCTAAATATAAAGATTATATAAATCTTAAATCATACATACCTTAGAATAGATTTCTCCAACTCCTTTGTTAGTAAAACAGTTTTATTTATTTCTGAACGATTACAAAGAATAAAACAAGTAATTGTTAAATGAAGCTTTAATTCTTCATTAAACAATGACTCTGATACTCCACGACAATTTTGACAATTTTCAAGAACTTTTTCCTTTAAAAACAGCTTTATAATATAAATTTCAAAAATATTTATACTATGTATAATGCATACCTTAAATGTTAAATAATTTTTAACAACAGCTTCATTCAGCATAGGAAATGATATGAAATGAGTTATACTTTGTCTAGATCTTCCTCTTTTTACAATAGATTCAATTCTAGATTTAGCAGCTATAACATGAGATCTTTCTTTCCCTTGTATTACTATATAAAAAATATTATTCATTAGTTTTGTTTTATAAATAATAATATGAATATAATAACTTACTAATAATTTCATTTTGTTTTGGAATTTTAATTCTTGCACATGTTTGACTCTCAATACTTTTAAGAGTTTCTCTATTTTTGCCAATAATCAATCCATAAAATGTACTAAAAATAAAAACAATATAATAGTATGTTATGATTTACTAATTGTGAAAAAATTTTATTGTTGATTAAACAAATTTTAATAATTCTATTTTTATTAAATATTTTAAGTGGTAAAAATTTGTTTTAAACAATATTTTAACAAAATAGATCTTGCAAATATTAAAAATTATTTCTGTTCATTATATAGATGAATATTAAATTTGAGTAGGTATTCATTTAAAGAATTTTGACTAAGGGCTTAAATTCTAGATTCACATAACAAAGGAAATTTTTATCATTTAACTTTAAGTAATTTTATTAAACTTAAAATTTGAATATTATACTAAATGCAGCAAAATTTAACAGCTAAACCTTAAAAAAAAATAATGACTTGATTATATTATATATTTTAGTTTTTTGTATAATGAATATAAAATCAATTTCTAATTAAGAACCTAGAAGAAGGTAATTTTTATAATATATGTGCCAAGTTAGATAAAAAATAAAGAAGAGAAATAATAACTTAGGAATTTCTAATTTTGATATATAATTATCGCCATCGTTGTATATATTGGCATCATCATTATCTTCATCATAATCTAAAAAAAAATACAAAAATTTAGTACTTATTCTAATGATTTATAATCTATATATTTTTATTTATCAAAATTTAAACTATTTATTTAATAGTATTTGAAATTTAGATTTTTATGACAAATTAAATTTAAGAAAATTAATATTAATTAATTATATTGAATTGGAAATGCAAATTAATGAAAAATTTTCTTAGTAAAGTAACATTTAAATTTTTTAGAACATTTATCTACCATAGATTTAACAAACTTGTACTGAAATATTTTTTTAATAAAATTTGATTAATTATAACTATTATCAGAGTTTTGAGGTTTTTTTTTTAATCAAATCAATTTAATATTATGGTAACTAAATTTAAAACATTATTTTATTTAATAAAAAATGTGTAAGGCTCAAAAACCTCTAATTTGATACATTACTGTTTTAATTGCAACATACATATCTTAGAAGACATTATTATTATTTCTTAATTCTCTTTCTATACATATTTTTACTTAACACGTAAAGTTTTTCTGGAAATTTGAAGGAGCTAAACCCCTCTAAGCTCCTGTAAAGCTCAATATCTATTTTATAAAAAGAATTTCATGAATTTCATCATCAGTGTATTATTTTTAGTAATTATTAATGTGAATGAATTTTTTTTTAATAAAAAAATTCATTCTGAATGCGAAAACAATTGGTTTTTCAGTTCATTTTCTAAACATTGTATAAATAAAATTATAAATTTGATTTCATAAAATGTTTTTTTTTATTATTTTAGTTTTGTTATTCATTTTAAAAGTAAAGCCCAGGAATAAAAAGTGTAACTTTGAACATGAATTAATTTGTATTTGATTAAGGAATTTAAACTAATTCACTTTTAAGAAGAACTTTTCCATCACTGTTGATAACTCATAAGCTTTTTGTATTCATTTATTCATACCATCTGCTTCTATGTAAGGTGACAGATCACGATGATAATTGTTCTGGGTTTCAACTAATTCAGATGAAACAATATCTGCTGTATTGAGTCTATATTGACGTCCGTCTATTGTTAAAATATTTGTACGTAAAACATCCATTTCAGTGATTCATAGTTTTAACAGAACAAATATATTATAAGAATATCACAAGCATGTATTGCTTAAATTTGAGAATACGGAAAACGATATAAACTACATAAACTTTACTAAATAATGTGTTTTTTAAGCCAAAATACAGTACGACAAAGATAATGTTTTTTTAAATATTGAGTGATAACTAATTGTTATCAATGGTGTTTATCATTAAAGCTACAATTATTGCAGCTTTAATTATTAATGATTGTAGATGTACCTATATTTCCGTTAATTTTTTTTTCTATAACATCCCTAAATTGATAATGATTAGCAACGTTTGAATTTTTTAGTTAAACCTAATTTTTAGTTTATTTAAGTTTTCTTAAATAGCAATTCTGAATAAATAATTTTTAGTGAACCTCGTCTCGAAACATTGTCAAAAATTCAAATTACTATTGCCGGGTAGGTGCGTTTAAGTGCTACCAAACGTAATTTCCTCCGTTTTAATTTGCAAAATTAAGTTAATCTGACGGATTTCACCACATAGTTTTTAATATTAATTACAGTAAATTTTATAAGATTACTGAATATTTCTATACATATTCAGAAAACTTATGAAATTTATTATTTTTTTGAAATTATAATATTTTTTTTAAAATTAAATTTAGATTTTAAATTTAAATTTAGGCTGTATTGTATTGTTCTAGTGTCAACGGGTTCCGGAGATTGCCACGAACTGATGATGCCCCGACATTCATTTACTCAGACACTGTAAAAAAATCCTCCGAATACATTTACTCCGACAACAATTACTACGAATACCTGGTTACAAAAATTTGGATGTTACTACGACGACGAATACTCCGAATAGGACTATTAATTGATTGCTCCGAATGAAATTAGCTCCGAATATCGATTATTCGCGAAATCGATTAAAAAATTATCAAATTTCGGAGTAGATGAATATCGTAGCAATATATTATCTGATGGAAAAATATAACCCTTATCACTAATTAATAAATATTAATTAATATAATAAAATAGCGTTATAATTGATTACTGTCTATTAACGAATAATTATTACAATAAAGATCCCCGAAATGTATCCGACTTTTGATAAAATAGGTACATAAAGGTAACATAACTGGTGTGAGCCCTTAAATTTTTTTTTGGAGGGGAAAGAAGAGCGATTCCAATTTTCAGACGTAAAATCTTTTTTACCTCTCCTTATTAGTGCTTATTATAACATTGTAAGCACATTAATATTATAACATTCAATTAGTTTAGTTAAAAAATATAGAGGTACGTTTTTATGATGATAGTATTCGTTATTAAACAGATGCGTTTATAAAGATATTCGGTATCCCATTCTCTAAAACTGTCATTACAATTAGTTTCATATGAAATCAAACAAAAATATGATTTAATATCATTTCATTGTTCAAAGGTGGGTAACGAAATTAATTCAGTCCAGTTTGGATTTGACCGCAATCTGGAGAGACTTGAGGGGGCTTTGTCTCCTAAAATTCTGCCATAGACTATACCGAAAATGAATTAATTTGTATTTCTTGTTGTATAGAAATATTTTTTTAGATTAGGTAAAAAATTATGTAATTAGAGTTCCCAAATATTTTGTTGCAATACTCCTACGCTCTAGTCAAATTAAGTAAACACAAGGCAGTTATAAGTTAACAGTGGACAATAGTTTATGATTTATCATAAACTTACAAAAATCTGCTAAGTAAATTGGTTTTAAACTTAACTAACTCGATTAAAAATATGCAGTCAATTCATTAAATAATGGTTCATTTTTTTTTTATTTGCATTATGATTATTTGAAGTTTTGTCAAATATACGTATAGAGTTAAATATTTTAATTTATAATCATGATTGATAATCAAACAATTATTCATTTTTTCTCATTAAATGGAAATCAAATATAATAATGTAATATTGAAACTGTACAACTTTTTTTATAGGACATATATATATATATAATTACATTTTTACAAAACATAATACATTACATTACGTGATTTTATTTTGAAAATTAATTTTTATTTTTTTTGGAATATGCTTTCATATTCTAAAAAGTACATATAAAATTAATTCAAATTTTTAAAAAAACTTCATTTTGTATTTATAAAACAATACATTTGTATTTGCAGGATACGCGTTAAGCTAACGAGATGAAAACTTTGGCAAAATAATCATCTTTTCGCAGGTCGGCCTGGCTCAGAAGGCCCTCATTAAATTTAAGATTTTTTTTCTCACTGGACCACTGAGAAAATTGTCCAACAAATTTAATTATTATTAAAAAAAGGAAAGGCTATTCAGATATTTTTTTCAAGGAAATATTAAACTGATTTCAATAAATGTATATTAGATTTTAAACAAAAAAAACTTTAAATAAATAATTTTTTACTCCTTAATATTTTTAACTTTTTTTTGAGCACCACTGGAGATTATAATGGTTTTACTTATAATTTAACATTGATTATAAAACTCATGTCACAAAATTAAATTTTTTTAACGATGAGTTAATATATTTTTAATTTTAGATGACACACAGAATTTTTAAATAAGAAAAAATTAATTCTACTTATATATAACCAAAACTTACTAATTCTTAGCATAACTCATATTAGACTTGTAGCAAAACTTACACAGTTTAATACTATTTTAATTTTTTTTAATATAAGTTAAAAATAATTTTAGTAATTAATTTTCAATTAAAATTGCTGAAAGAAAAATTAATCATACTCTTCTGAGTCTATAAAAACCTATTGGAAGAAACTTCCAGAAAGTAATAAGACTAAAAAAAATGTGTTCAACAATTATTGCATTGAAGTTGGATATACTGTGTTATTTTATACTTAGATGTCCTAATGCAGCACAGGAAAAAATCCAGACATCCCCAAGAATGATTTTATATTGTACAAACAATTTTATGTGTTATATTAGTTATTATTTTTTAATATTACACACTTAGGAATTAATCACTAATAAAATTGCACAAGACAATTTTTACAGCACATATTTGTTATAGAAAAATTAGTTTTCAAATGGATCTTATAGATGTTAAAAAATAAGTTACTGTTAGATAAAATTTTGTGGATCGACTGAAAAAACAGTTAACTAACAGTTTTTTGATTTGATGAAAATATTTTGTAATTATTGGATAATTAAAAAATAAAATTCTCAAAGATAAATATATATTCTAACAATAGAGAAAACTTTTTCAAAAATGTACATTTGTATTAAACACTATTAATTTTATGTTACTTAATGAATGACTATTATCATTCGAGTATTAATAACATATGTCAAATGTGAGAAATTGTACCAGAAAATAATAAGCAAAATGTATATTATTGTATAATAACTATAGTAGCAGATAAATGCTAATTGAATAGAACATTTTAATTTAAATTTTACAATATTATTAATAATAATATAATTAATTTAATAATGTAGTGTTTCTGTAGCCACGTGACCCTGACGTTGCAACATATACGATCAATGCGCCCTATTACTAACAATGCAATCGAAATATAATATAACTTTCGATGCATAATCAAACTATCGATAATGTCGGAGTTTTTACTATCTCATTTTTTAAATTTAATGTCGGAGTAAAATCCGTCATAATTTTGGTAACCTATGAATCAGATGGTCGGAGTACCAGATGTTCGTAACAATTACTACTTNTGATAGATGGTCGGAGTACCAGATGTTCGTAATAATTACTACTTTGTCAAATGTCGAAGTATGTAAATGTCGGAGCACCATCAGTTCGTGGCAAAGGTGCTCTCCCAGTGTCAACTAGAAGCATAGAGTATTGCCTTATGACTTGAAATAGCATTTATGTAGTGCGATATTATTTTTACATGTCAATATCGGTTAAGTTGTTAACGAGAAGTATTCCTACATTGATCTACACTAATTAATTTTTTTAGTCATTATTTCGATTTGTTAACATTTTTTCTTGCGCTTTTATTTGTTCACTGCGTCTTGTAAACTTTTATTGGTTTCCTATTTTGTTCAATTATACAGTATAAGTTAAAATATGCCGCTGTAAGCAGTTATCTATATTTATCGCATATAAATACGCCGCTGCCCATGTTTTCTTTTATTAATTCCATTTGTAAACGTTTTTTGGAGTTTTTTTCAACTATTACCATTTTTAATGTGTAATGATTTTGTCGTTTTATATTTTTTGAAACTGTAATATCATTGTTAAAAAATACGAGACTAACAAGCCTGTTACTTAATTACCATAAATGACCCGAAAATGCTTACATCGCTAATAATATTATTGATTCATTAGACTCCTTTAATTGAGATTCAAATCGTTCTGAGGTGTTTTATTTAGACAAGAGGTGTGAATCAAAATTGAATATGAATTTTTAAAATTAATTGGATTGTCGAATTTATTAATTATTATTGAGTCAAAGGGGCTAAATTCGTTATTCATTTATTATTGATAATTTTATATTTAGTTTTAAAAATGTGTATTAAAAGATAATAGCACAAAAAAAATGAAAAAAATCTGTTTAAAAAAATAGTGGTTTTGATAAAAATAGGTTACGGACCATAAATAGGAAAATAGGTGACACTAACCTAAAAAAATCTTGCGTAGACTGTACCTAAAAACTTTAATATGTACAATTATCATTACATTACTTTTGACAGTAATTTAAATTGTCACCTTATATAAATAAAGAAAATATCAAGTACATATTTTAATTATAAAGTTATTTATCATGAAATAGTACCTCGACAGAGAGTAAACAAAAAAAAATCTGCTTATAATTTGTAAGTTTGTAATTAGTTAAAAAACTTGAAAAAGAAACAAATTATTATTTATTCATTTATTATCTCAGATTAATATTTTATAAAATAAAACTTTATATATAGATTCTTATTCATATTTACCCCGAGTTCGATGGATTGTACAAACTTCGGGGAAATTTAATATTAACTTATACTTATATTTTTGTATACAAATATTAATTTTTTTTTTTTTTTAGTGTGTATTTTTTTCAAATCCCTTTGAAAAATTAACGGAAACATTGGTTTAAAAGTTATAGTATGTTAAAGTTGCCAAGTCGACAAATAAAAAATATCATAAAATTATTAAATATTACAGATTT